GACAATAATATTTTTCCCTCTAGGAATAACAATTTCTATAAATAAAGACTCATAATATTCAGAACATTCTAAGATATCATGTCTAATAACAAAATCCAAAAGATCAGAAATTAACAAACCCACACCACCTCCTCTAGCATGTTTGCGATCATTATGTATAAACGAATATCCAGGTAGGTTAAAAGTATGTGGTGTGTTTTCATGGATCCAAGTCTCTGAAAAGCCATAGATGGAGAAATCGAAATTAAGAGAAAATATAAAATCGGATATTGCATCAAAGTTTTTAGACAAGCTTCGAGAATTGAAGTGAATAATACTAAAATTTTCTTTGAATTCAAGTGCTTTTGTTAAGAAATCATCATCTAAATAATATTTACAGTCCAAGACATCAAGATTATGATCCATGTCATCAGAGTAAACATCTTCAATGTTTTGGAGATTATTTAAAAGTTGGTATGGGTAAGTAGTGACATTCCTTTTAAAAAGATGTTCAAATGCGATATCATCAGTATTATTAAAGGCAAATATGTTATGAAAACAAGATGGAAAGGGACAATTGCAGAGATCCTTTTCTAAAGAGGTACATACTTCAAGACATTTTGATTTTTTGTAAAAGCTATCAGATTGAGAACAACATATGTGGCAAGATAGAGTTTTAGGTTCCACTATACAATTACATATAACACAGAGCATACCTAAATTAAATTAAAAAGAACAAACAAAGCAAGCAATGACAACAACAACAGCAAACAAATCAGGTATGACACAGTATCCATTTGGAGTAGGTGGATTACAGTCAATTCATTGTTACTAGAGCCATTTTCGAGAGGCAAGAGTATACCATGACGTCATTTGTCAGTGAGTTATTATATGTTGAAGGTCATTATCACAGGTGATGAGTTTTGTGATACTTTTCCCTCCACTTGCAGGAATCAAGGCAATTATTCGTCCATCCGAAGACCATGCAGATTGTACCCCTTGGGTACTGCGTGTAGTTGCAAGCAATTTCTGATTCTTTGTCGTCAAATCTTCCACAATTGATATTCCTGTATTTTTTAGCTTCCTTCTTTTTTCTAATATTTCCTTTCTCTTTCTGTAGCTTGTGAACTTCACAATTATCGATCTTGGTCGTGGCTTCTTTGTTTCCTGTCGAGGATCGGATGTTGCAGTACTAGTTCGGAGTGCTGATACTGCTGGGACTACTTTTCCTACGCGATGAGAACGATCAATATCCCGCTCCACATCAAGGGAGATGCCAAGTGTTTCTGTGACAACCTTAGCTACCTCTGCATCTGTGTTCTCCCCTTTCACTTCATTTACACCAAAAATTCTGATACATGCTCGTCTTGAATATTGTTCCATGGTATTTAATGCATTTTCCAGTTTGGCGGTGGTGTTGTCACAGAGTGAAACCTTTCCTACTAATTTTTCCAATTCTTTGTTTTTCATTTCCAGTTTGCTTTGTAGGTCAAAGACGTCACCCTCAACTCGATCTAATCTTGACAATATCTCATTCATCTTCTTGTCTATAGCATTACTCACAACAGATGTAAGAAGGTCATTGAACTCTTTATTCTTCAATAGGTCTTTTATAACCAGACAAGTTACAGCTGCAGTTTGTCTGGTATTAAGAGACGGAACCGGTAAATGAATCGTCTTCTTTCTCTAATAATTTAATGAAGTGTCAAAGCTTCCGCGCTTCGCGCGGGAGGGGGGGGGGGGGGGGGGCGGGGGAACTGAATTCAGACAAGAACACGATACAACGAATCGTCTTCTTTCTCTAATAATTTAGTGAAACGTGACAGCTTCCGCGCTTCCAGGAAGTGCCTGAAAATGCTTCTAATTCGGTTCTAAAATTGCAAATGCTTCTTACCAGAACCCCCTCCCAGACCCACCCCCGCTTGGTCGCTCCACTCCCTTGCCGCTAAAGCCTCATTCTGTCGCTTCATCGTTTTACATATATTTAACCCCACGCCATTTTGTGCCCCACCCCCCCCCCGGTAAGAAATTCCTGGATCCGCCACTGATGCCCATACCCCTTGAGCTTCGGGGGCTCCGCCCCTTGACCCCCGCCGGGGCTTTGCCCCTAGACCCTACTTTGTGAAACGTTCAGCGGGGCCTGCATGTTAGAGTGGGGTGCTGCGGATTTTTTTTGTCAGCCCCCCCAAACGTTTTTGCTCATTACGCCACTGCCTTGCAGTGATTATAGTGATATGTGACTTCATTATACAAACTAAAGAAAAACAACAATCTGAAAGTCCTTTGGCAAGATATTAGGGACTTTTAGATTCGCACGAGGACAATAGGTTTATGCTACGATCGACGTCCTTTTAATGCGTTGCCTTGAATGGACGTCACACGTATCAGTCCACGCAAATCTAAAAGTCCCTATTAATCTACATCTGCCGCTCTCCACCCACCTGTATAATGGGTACCTTGTAGAAATTCATTCCTTAAATGCTTTGAGCGACTTATTACAGCTGGACTTAAGCCAGGGCAGTAATACTTTGTAGGCTCCTTGAACATCCCCTGGGATTGACGTATGTAAATACTGTAGCTGTTTTTATTATTAATATAATAAGAAGAAGAAGGGGAAAAAAAAGGGGGGGGGGGACACTGTCTACATTCTATATAAAAATGGATGTTGATCAAACCTAACCAAATCCAAATGTACCAAACTAACTCATTTACCACGTAATGTTTTGCAACAGATTATAAACTATTTCCCAAACCATTTGAAGGTCTCTCTTAACGTAATCTATTTCTGTATGCATAAACCTACAAGGAAGAAAACGGCAGGACAATTTATACGTCTTCAAAGGAAAGCACTTTAGAAACTGAATTCGTATGCAGAAGATTTGTCAAACTCTCATTGTATGCATTTGTGCGGTGGACAATGGCGATCGAGGCAATAAGAGGCTTTTATGGTAAAACCCCTAGGAATGAGTATTTGATCGGAGAGACTGCATGATTAAAATCTCGACAATGGAATTTACGTTCTCTTGTGATTTATAACGAGTAACTGCCATAAACGAATGGAAAGGGCCAAAACATTGGGAAATACTTCAAACTCCAACTAATGCAATGTTTGGAAAGTTATAAATCGTATCAACGAAGCGATCCTTGAAGTCATTGGGAAACAAAATTTGACCTGAAATTAGGGAAAGCAAAAATTATTACTCATTTTATTCTGTCATGTTTGGTATGCAGGTCATTGTGTCAAATTGAATTACCTAAATCAATATGTAACATCAACGTTTCAGAAATGTAATTCAAATAGAACTTGCAAATGTGTATAGATTTATGGGAGTTGAACCGACTTATATTCGACATTCTAATAATCATCACGTACCATTCTAAATGTATAACCATTTTACAATTTTGCCCTAGAATATGACATTGTTGATTAATTGAATATGTGGCGAATGGTTGATGCCTGTACTGTCCATGAAACGTGTAAAGGAATTCCATCTAAATTTTCAAATGGTCATAAATATCTGGAGAACAATGCTACTGAGCAAAGAAGAGAAAGAAACATATTTCAACGCCTTCGACAAACAATCGTTCTTACTTCATGGTTTGTAGGTTCAATTGTTGGCAAGTTTGCAACTACCAAGAAAAATATGACAGGAACTCTCACCCTTGGTTCACAAAAAGAACTGTTTTCTTAACCTTCTTTCGATAACGTTCAACTATTTCTATGCTTAGCATCCAGTCATATGACAACAAATATTTCTGAAAACCTTCGTAACCGGGAGATCCCAGGTTCGAAACTAAATCAAACGGCTCTTGCCCTTTGGTAAGGCATTAATCCCCATTACCAAGTCCCTCGGAGAGGATTTAATGCCGTCGGTCACCTGGTTGTTTATGATGCTTTCTTGGCAGTATGCAGGTTAAAACAATCACCATCAGACATCAATCATCACTGTTTAAAACAAAAATAATTTCTCTTCATGCAAAGGAGTGGAAATCTATCTATTATGTTATGGGTCAATTTAGAGATCACAATCTTGGAGTTGAATCCACTTTAGTTTTATATTGAAATTCACTCCAAAGTCGTGATTGAATTACAATCTTGATCTGAGCATGGATTCCACTCTAAACAAAGTGACACGTTAGCCGGAAAGAGGGGAAAGAGGACAAGGATGGGGGGGGGGGGGGGCGCTGCCCCTTGTTTCATGACATAACGCTAGAAAGCACCAATAAATAGAAATTAGGCATATAAATTCTGCAATCATAATATATCGGATCATGGCATTGGTCAACGTGTTGAAAATTTGACTAACAAAATGAAACAGTCGCATGTGGGAGCTGAAAATATTTGTTTATTGGGAAACAGTCGTAGATTCTTTTATGACCGTCCGCTTCGAACTTGTAACTATTCGGCATAAAAAAGAAATCCCGGGTAAGCCTGTAATTGTCCAATGTTTGTCGTCCGTAAACCGCAAACGTGGCAAACGCAATTATGTGGTTATGCTGACAATTATCATTATGATTTGGTGGCCAGCCCCAGGGCAATGCAAATATAATATATATAATATATTGCTTCCACCCCTGAACATGCCCTTGGCGCGAAAAATAAAATCAACGTGTGTAGTAGTACTTAATATACGAGAAGTACATTTTTGTAGTATAGTATAGAAGTAGAAGTAGTAGTACAGTTGTAGTTTTTGTTTTTGAGGTATATAATAGTATAGTAGTAGTAGTAGTAGTAGTAGTATAGTAGAAGTAGAAGCAGTAAGTAGTAGTAATATATATAGTAGTGATATAAGTTCTGTAGTAGTGATAAGTGCTATAGAAGTGTTGTAGTCGTGTAAAATTAGACTACACCTTTTCATCTCCATTCTTACTTATCCAAGAGACCTTGTTTGGAAAGAAAACACATACATTATGAGCATTAATACGAGGTGAAAGAGACTGAAGACAAATCAAAGATATAGACAAAGCAAGACACGAACAATGGAAAGAGCATTCCACAATCGTCACCATGGAAACCTTACCTTCACTCAATCATGTGCTCCCGGTGATCGTCAAAATAGATCAAAGGTCATCTCAACTCTGAGACGCTAGAATCAAGACGACAAACGACCTCCGATCGAGATCTGCCGTCTTCTCGTGAATCCCGCCGAAAGGAAATCAAAATCCGTATTCCAAAAACGCTGTGAAACTTCCAGTGACGTTGCGTTTGTGTTAATATTTCCTCTTCATAAGCATTCCTTAAAGATGTTGGTAAATCACGTTTAACACATATCAATTCCCGACCAGATACTTAGTGATATGTCGTATCTATGATAACGTTCCTCGTTGCATTCGGCTCATGGTGAGCCAAGTTCAAAGATGAATAACCCGCGAGCATGTGGTCGCTGAGCGATGATGTTTTCCGACTACCTGGTATGCTGACCTCAAGTATTATATAGATCCAGGCATGCACAGGCGGACAGGGGAGGCTGCAGCGAGGGGACTCCAGCCTCGCAGGGGTTTATTCCTTTTCAAAAATAGTATTCCAACCGCTTGTCGTTTAAATTATGCCTTCTGTAGGAGAGCGAAGCAAGCATCTTCAACCTCTCTTTCGTTAGATGTTAATCGAGCGAAGTCTCCTCACTGATATACTCCACCCATCGGGTCCTCACGCCTCTTTGCAAACAGAAGCTTTGCTCAGGCTCGCAGTAAGCTATTCACGATAAATACCAAGAGCAAATCACCGTCTTTGAAATACCGTAGGCCCTCAACAATAGCCAGGCCAGCAATAACAATAAAAAAGGCGTCAGAAGAAATAAAAGAAAGGAAACGAAATCCTACCCGGCCCCTGCGCTTGATATGTGCAGTAAGCCTGGGTATTGTTACCTCATTTTCAAACAATTCTTTTTATACTTACCTGTGCGTGCAGTCGAAGGACGCGTTTTTGTTTGAATATATCATGCCTTCCATCTCTCCCTTGAATTGACGGTTGCTATTTTATTAACGCACATTGATCTTGAAATATTTTAATATTAATCTGTGTGGTTTATTATTGAATTGAATTGAATTGAATTACTCTGTGGTTGATAACTGTAAATCTTTGCTATATAAAGTGATTGAAAACAAGACGAGCACAATATAAGCGCATAATGCAATATTTGAAAAGGAGCATTCTATCGAAATACTGGTAGGCCCTATAATTCTTTCAAAAGGGCCAATACATGTATTTAGAGACTCTAACCAAATTTCACCGCAAAAATGAAACACGTGTGCAACTTGGAAATTTAGTGAAGTCTAACGGAGCATAATATTTTTGATCAACGATCGGGGAAACTGAATTATTGAAGATAATGTTGCTTAAAGTTATGAAGGGGAGTTAAATAGATTCTTCTCTTTTGGTTATATCGCAAAAGACATGTACCGCTTTCTTATACATCATCCTCGATCCTTCCATTTATGTAATAAGGAATCAAAATACCCATTATAGAGTATAGTATATCAAAAACATTGTGCAGATTCGTATTCGCTTTACAAACTATGGTGCAGAGTCTCAACAAAAACAACTCTTGGTTCTTGATAAAGGAAATGGGAAAATGTATCAAATTGTAAACCCTTTCTAATTCTGAAAGTCACCCCTTTTTTGAGATAGAAAGAATCCACATGTTTAGGGCACACATTTTCTTTTTTGATTGACAGTTTGTCTCTTACTCTTCCTCTTTCTATAATTCACTTTGCCCCTCATCTATTTTAGATAATGAGATAACCCCTTCCAATTTATGATCTGAATACCCTCCAGATTATGTGGTTCCACCCCCTTGTGACAACTTGTCTCATTTCTGGAATCGATTTTTGATAGGTCTTAAATCAACCACAATAGTTTTACTAGATAAAGGGAAGCCAGATAGATTATTAGCTTATGGGGCGGGTCGGAGCTTGTTGGACCAGTCCCCAATCGATATTTAATTAATACCTTTTCATTATTCAATTGGCAGGCTTTGATTACGACCGGGGTCTTGTAAATAATTCTCATTGTCCTTTTTTCTTTTTATCAGGGCGACAACTTCTAGACGTCATCTTTGGTGCACCTAGATACGTTGAAGAGCTATGGTATTTTGAATAATTAAGCTATACTTTCCTCGTTGACTCGGTTAAGTGACTTCACTGTCAGGGGCGTTGCTAGAACATGATTTTGTTCTGTGTGTAGTCTCTTCTCTGCCTTTATTTTTAATCAGTCTGTTCCTTTAAAACCAACTTTTCTCTCCCAGCCATCTATCACCCTCTCAGTTACCCTCCCTAGCTCCCTCCGATTAGAAAATAGGCAAGTTAGGCACAGTTATTCTTTGATGTATAAACTATTTCACGATTTGGCACATGTATATTTGAAAGAGAAGTTTATTATAAAAACTACAAACTATGCCCTTAGAAGTACTAATTTAGTTTTGCCTAAACGAAAAATACAGAATTGTAAGCGTACATTTCTGTATCGCTGAAGTAAATTGTATAATGGATCACATATGCACACTCGACAATCAAGAAGTTTGGCTATATTTAATAAAGAAATACAAAGTTTTAGTTTGAAATGTTATGACAGAGAAATATGTTTTTAGATACAATTAATACCCATTTATGATTGTAAATAAATAATAATAATAATAATAATGGGGGGGGGGGGGGTCGATACGGGGGATAGTGCATTGGTAAATTGCTATGATTGAAAATTTATATCGTTATTAAATTAATATGATTTTTTGCTTTTGGACCCCATGGAAGAACAGGACCATCTTGAAAAGGCTCCTGAAATGGGCTATCCAACCGTTTGTCTATACTTCACACATTTACTTACCTTCTTATCATTTGAATGTGTTTTATATATGTATGTTTTTAAAACTTGTATGTATATATGGTTTTCGGAAATAAAAAACATTCCCTCTCCCATCTGTGCACTTCATCTTTCTGTGTTTTCCATCCTCTATCTTTCTCTCTCTCTCTCTCTCTCTCCTCCCTCACTCCACACACACACACACTCTCTCTCTCTCTCTTCTTTTAACTCATTATCATGTAATCCCTCAGTTTCTCAGATACCATTCTACTAAATAATATCGCATCAATAATATACCATCAACCAACCTATAGAACAATTATCAATCACCTGATCAGTGCAGTTGGCCGATATTTTCTTCCCACAAATTCTGATTGATTAGTATTATGCAAAGAAGATCAATTCCTTAATAATAATATGGAAAAAATAATCTTGCTTGTGCTTTCCTATGTGTTTCCATTCAATTACTGAATAATCCAAACAAAACAAAAAACACATGGATATTATTTTTGAAAGTCTTAATGCTTGTAAAAATAGAAGCCCTTATTTTCTATAAAATCTTTCAAATAACAAAACATCACACATAATATCTGATTTATTGATTTTTTTTCCTCATCATTTAATGTTAGTACAATATCACTCTGGTTTATCAACTCTATAGTAATATATCTCACACCCCACAGAACTTATACCACTTCATTGTGAAGAATAACACAAATTTGGCAATTTATATTTTTTTTTAAGAACATGAAAAATGGAACTTACTGTAATGAGTTTGCATGACTATCAAATAATGTTACTGTTTTTCTTTTTTTTAATTAGAAGACATTATTCATAAATCATATGGAAGAGGTCAGTATAATAAGTGCTTTAATTTATTGTTTCTAAAGATATTAAAATACATGACTAAAATGTGTGGAACAGAAATCTACAAGTTTTAGATTGATTCACTAGATCAGTTAGAAATATCATTAAAAAAAAAAAACAAACACCCTCTGTATCACAGAATGTACCGTCAGTCCATAAATGAATAATGATTACACAACTTTAATGAACAAGTTCCCAGTATTTGCCTTGATTGGTTTTCAGTTTTTGTATGAATGTCTATCACTTGCCCATGCTCAGACACATCTTCAACCGTCAGAAGTCAAGAGGGTAATGCTTTATAGATGTGTTTTTCTGCAGGATTGTTCATACCCCTTGTAAATTTGATGTTTTTGCATTTTCGTAACTTAAGAATGAAAGTTGGACGGGTTGAAATATGGCCTTTGTTGAATACTTTTAGACGTAAGCTTTGGTATGTCACATTCTCAAGAAACATAAATTGGGAAACATAAATTTTTCACATACTTAAAATATTACAAAACTTGGTCTATGCATGCCTATGATGGCTCAGAATCTGTACCCTGTCACCTTTTTGAGATTCCACTGATTTTCAATCATACATATTTTGAAAGTGGCGCAAATTGTGTATATGCATCAATATTTTGTGGATTGGATTGAATTGAGAAAGAAATATTGCTCGATCAAACTATTTTTTTTCCTGTAATAGCACACTTTCTTATTATGAATACAATTCATACCAATTTGGATTTCTTCCTCTCATACGAGGATCAAAGTTAATGGATGTCTTTAAGATGGACTGAATTAAAGTCATAAAATTCTACTTAAATGATGTAATTCTCCTGATTCTAATACAAAAATGGTTGATTTAGTCTGGAAATGGAATGTATAAGCCATCATTTTTCTTCATTCAGTGCTGAATACACAATTCCTATCTTCCCTTTCAAATCTCAATGGATCGTTAAACCAAACAACATATCAATTCATCTTACAACCAATACATATTCACAACCCAAATTTCTTCTTTCAAATACATGAATTTTAATACCTGATCAGTTCAATTCATCTAATATCTAGTACCTCAATCACAGGTCATAAGAAAATCCTTTACATAAATGTGAATCTTTGTGTAAGAATTCCTCAATTCATCTTGGGTTTTACTCCTCCGATTCGGATCCTCCTCTTGCCGTACTTCTTCTTTCTCAGACGCCACATGTGAGACAGGAGAGTTGGAGCACCTGCAGAAAAGAAGATCAATGATAATATGAACAGAAAAATAATAATAATAATTGGATCTTATTTATGCCAAGGGTAGCCACATTGGTATATGTAGAGGTGTCGTGGTCGAGAGGATGCATCATCGGACTGTGGTTTAAGAGGTCCGCGTTTCAAGTCCAGCCGGGGTACTAATGTCCTTTGGCAAGAAGACATTAATCTTCATTTGCCACACTCGACCCAGGTGATGTAAATGGGTACCTGGCAGGAGTGAATTCCCTGAAATGCTAGAGCCCCGTAATAGCAACAATTGTAAAGCCTGGGTAATAATTGCAGAATGCTAGGAGCGTCAAATATGACAGATATGAGTGCTATACAAGAACCCACTATTATTATTAGTAGTAGTAGTAGTATTATCATTACTGCTCTTGCTGCAGGCCCTCCAATTATAAATACTCCAACATTGCATCTGTTTCATACACCTGGGTAGAGAGAGACAGATGTGGGAAAGATACCTTGTTCAAGGATGTAAGCACTGAACAAGGATAGAACCCAGAACCTCTTGTATGAGAGTCAAGAGCCTTCACTAATATACCACATGCTCCCACACAGATTACACAAATTAATATTTTGCAATACTTATCTCTCCATCTAATTACTTAAACAAAATGATATATTTAATTTTTTAATTTTTTAATTTATTTATTTATTTATTTATTTTTTATTTTTTTATTATTATTATTATTATTTTTTTTTGGGGGGGGGGGGGGGGGGAGGAGGCTTACTGACTACCAGCCATACTAGATAATAAAACACTCTGTTGGAACATAATGATAATTACTAAAGCCTCATAATCACCTTGTAAGTTGTGTAAGGCACTCTTATATAATCCTTTCTAGTTCTTGATCTACATGCAGGCCACTGGGTCCCATTTCATAAAATTTGCTATCAATAACAAATGCTAAAATTCTACAACAAATTTGCTTCAGCTGATCACATGGCGTGATTTTAGTAGCTTATAACAATTATTGTAATTTTTGTTATTGATAAAAGTTTCAAGATACAGGGCCCACAGCGTTTATCTCTTTGTCTATTACGTATATTGACGTCCTAGACTGTCACATTGTATTGGTGTATATTTTACATATACATTGAAAGTGTGAAAAAGGCAAGTGGCGGTCCACGTATGTCCTATGAGTCGACCATGGCAGACAAAGAGTTCAGAATTTCATTACCACAACTAATAGTACAGACTGGATGAAAAGTAATAATAAGGTTGACTGGCTTGTTGTTCCATGAGTATATAAAACAATACTGCCTGAATCCTAAATGCAGTCTTACCAGATGATAAAACAATACTGCCTGAATCCTAAATGCAGTCTTACCAGATGATAAAACAATACTGCCTGAATCCTAAATGCAGTCTTACCAGATGATAAAACAATACTGCCTGAATCCTAAATGCAGTCTTACCAGAAGATAAAACACCATGTCATTTCACACTGGTTTGGCTAGAAAGAGAACCCTTCTCAAATAAAACTTATTCCCCATACCGTACTTACTTGAGACAATGATGATTATGTGCAGGTACATGTAGTAGACAAAACTGAAAGCGATATTGGCTCGGTTTGGTAGGTGAACACTGAACATGTCCGTTTCTTTGTAAAATGGTATTGCAAGGCAGACCACCATTACTGCAAAGAAGAACAAGAACAACATCAACGTACATTAATAAACAATACAACTTGTGGTAAACATCAACTATGCTAATACATGTTATTATATCTTTGTTTGCACTTTGCCTGTATAAGATATTCCATGCAGTGCAGAGTTGGTATCAGAAATCCAAAATGTGGCAAGTAGACTTGAAGACAGTGCAGATTAGTCAACAGATATCTAATGATTTTGAATGAATTGGTAAGATTTTTTCATTGGGCAAAAGATGCAGTTGTTGCACACTGGCTTACAATATTTGGAAAATATCTAAAAGCATACACACATAAGCAAACAAATTGTTCCCTGTTATTGATTTGGGCATAAAAACCTTCATCACTCTCCAATCACCTTGGCCATTACAAGAACATTCCTTCACTTCACAACACACAAAAAGCAGCAATAGTATTAAAATAAACAAACTACTGGTAAGTCTCACCTGTGACTATGTGGTGGTTTTTCACCTCCTCATTCTGCTCATGCGCATATTTAACAAACTCATGAATACGTATTAGGTTCATAACAGTAATACTTACTCTCTGATAGGAAGCCTAGAGGGTAGAGAGGGATCCACACAGTGTATCTTAGCCATGTTACCACTTCACTTTCATAGTCTATATATATGAATATGTATGAGGTTCGTAATGGTAATACTTACTCTCTGATAGGAAGCCCAGAGGGTAGAGAGGGATCCACACAGTGTATCTTAGCCATGTTACCACTTCACTTTCATAGTCTATATATATGAATATGTATGAGGTTCGTAATGGTAATACTTACTCTCTGATAGGAAGCCTAGAGGGTAGAGAGGGATCCACACAGTGTATCTTAGCCATGTTACCACTTCACTTTCATAGTCTATATATATGAATATGTATGAGGTTCGTAATGGTAATACTTACTCTCTGATAGGAAGCCCAGAGGGTAGAGAGGGATCCACACAGTGTATCTTAGCCATGTTACCACTTCACTTTCATAGTCTATATATATGAATATGTATGAGGTTCGTAATGGTAATACTTACTCTCTGATAGGAAGCCCAGAGGGTAGAGAGGGATCCACACAGTGTATCTTAGCCATGTTACCACTTCACTTTCATAGTCTATATATATGAATATGTATGAGGTTCGTAATGGTAATACTTACTCTCTGATAGGAAGCCCAGAGGGTAGAGAGGGATCCACACAGTGTATCTTAGCCATGTTACCACTTCACTTTCATAGTCTATATATATGAATATGTATGAGGTTCGTAATGGTAATACTTACTCTCTGATAGGAAGCCTAGAGGGTAGAGAGGGATCCACACAGTGTATCTTAGCCATGTTACCACTTCACTTTCATAGTCTATATATATGAATATGTATGAGGTTCGTAATGGTAATACTTACTCTCTGATAGGAAGCCCAGAGGGTAGAGAGGGATCCACACAGTGTATCTTAGCCATGTTACCACTTCACTTTCATAGTCTATATATATGAATATGTATGAGGTTCGTAATGGTAATACTTACTCTCTGATAGGAAGCCCAGAGGGTAGAGAGGGATCCACACAGTGTATCTTAGCCATGTTACCACTTCACTTTCATAGTCTATATATATGAATATGTATGAGGTTCGTAATGGTAATACTTACTCTCTGATAGGAAGCCCAGAGGGTAGAGAGGGATCCACACAGTGTATCTTAGCCATGTTACCACTTCACTTTCATAGTCTATATATATGAATATGTATGAGGTTCGTAATGGTAATACTTACTCTCTGATAGGAAGCCCAGAGGGTAGAGAGGGATCCACACAGTGTATCTTAGCCATGTTACCACTTCACTTTCATAGTCTATATATATGAATATGTATGAGGTTCGTAATGGTAATACTTACTCTCTGATAGGAAGCCTAGAGGGTAGAGAGGGATCCACACAGTGTATCTTAGCCATGTTACCACTTCACTTTCATAGTCTATATATATGAATATGTATGAGGTTCGTAATGGTAATACTTACTCTCTGATAGGAAGCCCAGAGGGTAGAGAGGGATCCACACAGTGTATCTTAGCCATGTTACCACTTCACTTTCATAGTCTATATATATGAATATGTATGAGGTTCGTAATGGTAATACTTACTCTCTGATAGGAAGCCCAGAGGGTAGAGAGGGATCCACACAGTGTATCTTAGCCATGTTACCACTTCACTTTCATAGTCTATATATATGAATATGTATGAGGTTCGTAATGGTAATACTTACTCTCTGATAGGAAGCCCAGAGGGTAGAGAGGGATCCACACAGTGTATCTTAGCCATGTTACCACTTCACTTTCATAGTCTATACACGACAGCATGTAAAATGGATACCTGTAGGGTGGAATAAAGAAAGGATGATGAAAAGGTTTGATTTAGGGATTGTTGAAGACTTAATTTTGGTGAAGATGTGTTATCTTTTAATGCATTAAAGGGATTGGATAACTTTGTCTCAGATTCTGAAACAAAATCCTTGATTTAGCTCATGCTGCAATGAAAATTATAAACCATTAGGTCAGTCAGGAACCCCATGACTTTTACAAGTCAATCACTTGTGTCATTATCAAGATATTTATGATTGGAAATTTAAAAAAAAATAAATAAATAAACGGGAAAACAAGTATGGTTAAACCGGTCACTCAAATAGAATACTATGTAAAAAGGCACATTTCAGCCAATGGCTGTGAAACATTGTGTACGGTAGGTGGAAATATTATTGAATTAATTTTTCACTATGCTTGGTTTCTTAGAACTGAGATAAAAGAAACAATTAATCAGTCCATCAGTCATGGAACTGTCTGGAATCTATTGAAAAAGGTTGCTCATGTAGAACATATGAATTGGTGTATACTGTGAGGTTTTGGAATTGTTGAAATGATATGATATTGGCTGAGTCTTGCCGAAAGTCACATGCATTGTACACAGAAATATGTATATGGGACTACACAAACATGTGGTCCACACACTTCAGCTATTCCTTGTCATATTTTGAATATTAGGACATCTGAAGAGTGATGATTTTCCAGAGAGATTGTATATACAATTTTCTTCCACCTTAATACAATAAATATGAAAAAGCTCAAAAGTTATTTCCACATTTCCCAGGATTAGAATGATGAATTATAAGGAGGACTGGCTCACCTTACAACTTCCACAGCACTCCATACCATGAAGAGATAGAGTGTCATGCCTTCTTCCTTGAGCTCAGGATTGTTCATTATCACAACAAACAGAACAAAATTCCTTCCAAAAACCTGAAAAGAAACAAGTCTTCTTTTTACCATATATGCATATAGGCAATTCAAGGCAAAATGATGAACCATGTTTTACCAATGAAAAATCAAATAAAGAAATAAAAATTGGAACAATTTCCAATCTCAGAGGGCAATATATCTGTAGATATATATCATTAAAACAAAAACTAGCTTATTTGTCTTTACAGTTCCCTCAATCCCAGATGTTCGGATTGTTTTAATGACTTGACAAAATGAAAGGAAGGGTACTCAAAAATACTACAGCACTCTTATAGAAAACAAAATCATAGGGCAGCAAATATGACTATCAGCTCCTTGCATGATTTACAGATTCAATTCCATAAACTTAATTAATTTTGTCAAAGTCATTTTTACAATAGGTTACATAAGTTTGATGAATAAGGGACATTCCCTACATCGCGTGAGGGCGTTCCAGTATGACACTGAGTACCGGTGGATATAATGAATGCATTTAACAATCAATGGATTCACCATCAAATCAAATATTTATCGAATGGGATTTACAATGAAATTAGTTTACACTAAAATTGATTTAAATATACAATCAAATGTGTTCTTTTTCTAATCAAAATGTACATTTTTACTCCATAAGCCACATAGGGTAATATTTGTATCCCATTTTGTACCTGCTTTTAGAAAAAAAGGGGGTCTTATTTTGTGGCAGATGCTCTTGAAAGTCAGTGAATACGGGGTCATTTTCAACGCCGCTTATGATCATGCCTTACCCTTATGAATATGAGGTGACCCCACTGAGCTGGATTAACAATTAAACCTTTGCCTCCTGGAACCGGGGGGTTTATGTATTAAGCCTATGGGATTGACAGATGTTCAGGAGTCAACAGGTTTAAAATGGATTTACAATCAAGAAGACAATCTTACCTGCATGAATACCGTCATAGTACCAGACTTGACTAGCCCCGTCATAGCATGTATAACCTCCAGACAAGCAAACACTTGAGCGATCCCCAGCGGTATGATCGCCCAATCATAAGCAGCCGGTAGGTCCTCTGAAATAAGATGGAGCATATGATTGATTTCATTAGGAATTAAATGGTCATCTTGGGTTCTGACCACGATGGAACAATCGTACAAATGAATGGTAAAGAAATGATTTTAGTTTAAAATGTACAATAGTTGATTAATAAGAAAGGGTAAACATATTGCTTAGTTCCTGTTCTATGACCACTCATAAAACAAAAAGATTTAGAAAATGTATTTTCCAACAACAACATTTTCTTTCTTTCATACCTTTTCAGGGAAAAAAAGAAAAGAAAAGCATGAAACAAAAATAATGAAGAAACTGAAGAATATGGATTAGAGAGGGTTATGTAACACAATATACCACACACGTGTAATAAGAACTTCTATCCTCTTTTCAAAATCTGGACATTGGTAGTTGATGGAATCACAATTTTCTAGACGGAGATAAACTTAACTATTTGTTATAAATCAAAGCTGACATTCCTCTCATAACTCGATTCATTTTTTTCTTTAAATCTGGTACAGTTAAACCTGTCTACAGAGACTGCCCAAGGGAAACACAACAAGTGTTTTTTTTTGTAGACAGGAGGTATTTATATACAGGTTCCTTTAGTACATGTTTTAATGAGAAACCATTTTTCAGGGGAAACAAAAAATGTGGTCTTTGTAGACAGGTGGTCACTAAAGCAGGTTTGGCTATATTCACCTTTTCCATGGAGGATGAATTTTCCCAGGCAGTAGACAAAGACCATGGTAAAGATGATCCATTGTATCAGGTTATACATGAAGAGATACACATTCTTTATATCTTGGTAGGCTGAAAACAACAAGAAAACCATGCAATGTTTAAAGAAAGGAACCATTCTTTAAGGGAGATTTACAGAAATGATAAAACTAGGTATTGTGATAACAATAATAAGATAATAAGAGCTTTTGCCTAACAATTCTCACAAAGTTATTCTTGCACATGAAATAATACATGTTGAACAGGGCCCTGTTTCATAAAACTTCTTATCGATTAGAACTGTCAATTTTTTGTATCAAATTTTCTCACAGCCAATCAAATGCAATGATTTCAGTATCTTATAGCAATTACTGTTACTTGTTCTTGATATCAAGTTTTGTGAAACAGGGAACAGATGCACATAATTTAACACTGGTAAGTAATGTGTGTCATATTTGACACTTGCACATTTATTTATGAAGGAGTTGATTCTTAACAATCACCTACAAATAACTCTATTCACAAAAATATTTTGAAGTTGCTGAAGTTGTTGTTAGGTAAATCAAAGACCATGAAAAGGGCGCCTTTCACTTTACTCTCCTCGATTCTAGATATCATATAAAAATATGAACGATGTGGAGCAATCATATCCAGTTAACTAAAATGTATGTACATAGATCTGCAAACTACTAGTTTGGTAAGAGTAAAGAGCATTTCATTTTTGTAGTGAAACCTGTCTATAAAGACCACCAAAGGGAGACAAAAAAGCAGTCTTTATAAAGCAGGTGGTCTTTATGTACAGGTTCCTTTAGTATATTTTTCAATGAGAAACCATTTTCAAGGGAAACAAAAAATGTGGTCTTTGTAGACAGGTGGTCACTAAAGCAGGTTTGACCGTACCTTGTTTCTCTGCACCCATGAGCTGTTCTTCCAACTCCTTGAAGTGCTCTTCCTGCTCCCGCTTCTGAAAATTGTAAACAAAAATACCGGTCATGATCCTCACTCAAAATAACATCTGGAAAAGGAGCAACCATCTGCATAGTTGTAAGGATGCCCAAATCCTGTGACATCATGCAATTGTCTGCTGCGTTTTTAAAGCAGTTTTTACAAAACTTTGCAGCTTGTTTTTTTCCCCTGCAAATAAAGCCTGTTAAAGGTAGACCACCAATGCAATGTTTACAAGCAGGCGTACAGGTTACTTTAGTATAGGTTTCAGTAGATCTTCATGGACAGTTGGCCTTCATTAAAATACCCTTTCAGAACATCAAAATTATATTATCAAAAGATATATTTACCCACATGACATTCTAAATATCAGTATAGAGTAAACTCAATAAAGAGGGATATCATACCACTGATGCACTATGAACTTTGCAATAATTTCTGATTGATCAAGTAAAACTCAAAATACTGTGAACATGTTGAAGGTGCAGATCTTAGGTAAACAAAAGGATCTTGACACTCAAATTATTAACTTTTTTCTCTTTAGTCTAGGTGCAGAGTATATTAAAGCTATATGATCTCAAAATAAGAATTATTAACCTTTTTCGCGTCCTCATCCTCTTCTTCATCCGATTCACCACTCCTCCATCGGTCAAAGTCAATGCGTAGCCAACGGGGGCGCTCTCCACTGGTCAATCTCGGCCAGAAGGAAAGGACAGACTTCTTGCTGATGTTGAAATCAACTTGGCGATCAAGCACACGGAATGCACTAGCCTGAAGTTTGAAGAGAAACAAAAAGCATACAGCAATAATTGAGAGCTGATTTGATGAGATAACCACCTGTTGGTGACCACACAGGGAGGTCTAATCCCTCCCGGCCAAACTAGTGCAAATGGGCTTTAACATGTTGGTTGTGAATGATGCAATCGCTTTACTTTTATGACAGATCTATCGTTCATGATACCTAAAAGTTTTCTGTGATTTCTGTAAATTAAAGAGGAAGCACATGAGTATGGGGAACCGGCAATAATCTTAATAATACTCTGGTTGTACAACACATGCTTTGGTGTAGTAATTTGGTGACAATTGATCGGCTATCAGTTCCCTATACTTTAACTTACTGAATTCTGCACTTCAAACCTAACTTACAACCCAACCCATTACATAATAAAGTCAAACCTGCTTTAAGACCACCCGTCTACCGCAAGCACATTTTTTGTTTCCCTTGGGTGGTCGCTGTAGACAGGTTTGACTGTAATAATAATAAAATACTGCTTTTATAGGGTGTATCACTACCATAGCATCTCTATGCGCTTAGGAAGAAAGATAGAAAAGGCAGAAATAGGTGACATAAATGCCTGACTGTAGCTCGGTCAAAATGCTGTTTAAAGAGGCTATGTTGGAGAGTTTTAAACTTTAACTTGAGGATGTCTCCTTCATATGAGATGGGAAAGTGTTCCAAATTGCAGGGGCAGCATATATGTAAATAAATGACCGCTCTCTATGTAAAACTTGGTCCGAACAACTGGACATTTCAAGAGATTTTTACATAACCCTATATATTTGACAACATACAGCCCAGATCAATTATCAGACCACTCACATCAGGGTCTACTTCGTCATGGAAGTCCAGAGAAAACTCATACTGATGAATTCCACTTGCTCCGAGACCATAGCCTGTTCAAAAGATTAACAAATTGCATTTTGTATTGAATGTAATTATATTCAAACAATTTCAAATTATACTTTCTTGATGTAAAATAATCTTGTGTTAAAAGAGGATTTTCCTTCTTTCTTATACATTATATTGGTCAGCTGTTTAGTATATGCACATTATTTTGTGATGTGAAAGTTGGCATACAGTAGACATTTCCATTTGCAAATATCCTTTCTGTTCTGTCTGACTGATATCATGCAATTTTATAAAGATTGACCATTTGGGATCTACAACAGTTGACTCACTGTCTTGTAAGTTTTTTTTTTCTTGCCAAGATCTGCCCTTAAATAGAGCAATGACTTCATCCTCCAGATTGAAAGTTGATATCTCTAAAACATTAAGTAAATCTCAAATTCAAGCTTACCTTTAAAAGTCAACGTCTTGGATTTAAGTTCCACTTCTGGTGACTAATGGAAAGAAAAGTAGTTACGATAATAAGAAAAAGTAATATTTATGAATTGGAGCTCTGCTGCATTTATAAAGAAAACAAAAATAACTAGTTAAAAGATTTATCAGATGTGATAACAACTATTAACGCCTGACCGCATGCTCTAAAAGGTATTTCAGGGGGGGGGGAAATGAAAGTCAACCGACATCTACTAGTATAAAAAAAAAAAAAAAATTCATGTGCTTGAAAAAAAGTCATACACTTGTTCATTAAGGGCATGATCTCAAGCTTTTGTCTCAAGATTAAGTTGTTGCTGCAGTTCATGAAAGGTGCAAATCTACTTTGTTTATATTGTCGCAAAAGCGTGAACAGTTCAACCCTCTTTTTTCTCCCTTTATGCTTGTGCATCATTTTTCCCTACTCTGTATTTCTATGTATGACCTATGCTTATAATTCAGCTCTTGAATTGCAATTTTTTTTTGGTATAAATACCTTTTCAATTCAATTAAATTGGTAATATATTTGCAGTATTACAACAGCAAAGTTGTTGTCTTTCTTTTTCATCCCATATATCACTAATATAATTATTCATATAAACCACCAGGCTGGACTAGCAATGGACCAATCAGGGCCATGTAACTTACAGAGACGTCATTGAGGTCGACCTTGAGTGAGATAGTTTTCTCTGTCTGAGCCCAGTAGACCAAGGGTTGGTAGACGGTTGGGGAGGACATCTTGAGATGATGCTCTTCTTGTCTTGGCCTTGGGTGATGGTCCTACAACCAGAAAGGAGTGTCAACTGTCAAAATTGATGATTCAATGAAATTGATCACTGACCTGTTTAAAGGGAAAGTCCACCCCCAAATAAGTTTGTTTCGAAAGAGGCAGAATAATAAGAAAATCAGGTGAGTGAAAGTTTGAGCAAATTCTGAATGAAAATAAGAAAGTTATGAATTATTGAAGTTGTGATCAATCAAATACAAATTGGCAACTCTGTGACTTATTATACGAGCTCTCCTTCATTTGCTTTGTGCATAATATTCCATAAAATCATGTTTTCTTCGTTATTGATGACGGAATATATATTTGTTCCTTGCAGGGGGAGTATAGAAACATATTTGCAATTATTATATTTAGGGTGCATGTATGGTTGAAATTTTTCTTGAGGGAAAATGAAAATTTTAGATTTTTTTAGTACTGAGCAAATGGAAGTTGAGCTCGCATGATACGTCATAGAGTTGCCAATTTGTGTTTGATTGATCACAACTTCAAAAATCCTAACTTCCTTATTTTTAATCGGAATTTGCTCAAACTTTCACTGACTTGTTTCTCTCATTTTTCTACTCCTATTAAAACTAACTTAATTTCAGGGTGGACTTCCCCTTTAATATGCCAGTCTACAAAGGTGAAAAGTCATCATCAATTCATCATCATTATCATAAACACCAACAACATTATTCCGATTTAAGTTATGTCTTCACAATTTTTTGTAAACATGTTAAAATTCTGGAGAAAGCATACAACACTTTATTTTGAGATTACCAATATCAAGACACAAAGTTTATGGTACATGTCATTTTATTTCATATATTGTAAAGTCATGATCAATAGTAACTCCGGGAAGCTCCAACACCGGCGCGCAGCGTCGGAGCTTCGGTCAAACTGTCGTGGTGGCTTCGAAAAAAAAAAATGGGGCGACGTTATCGTTAAAATCTGCAAAGGGAGTACTTACAATTTTACATCATAGGGTGCACGACTTCTCAGGGCATAACAATGATCACTTGAATTCATAATTTGAAGAAGTCTTCGATGGGAAAAAAAGGGTTTTTCAGAGCACTACCCAAACGACTATTCCATGTTGCAGCGTCGATTCAAAATGGCGAAGAGACTGTACGCATGCTCGGCAGAGCCGCAGAAAGTATGAATATTCATGCTATCGAGTGCCGATCGCTCGAAATTGCTGAATATGCACGACTCGAACAAACAGAGTCCTTCTCAACCTCGTGCATATTCAGCGATTTCGAGCGATCGGCACTCGATAGCATGAATATTCATACTTTCTGCGGCTCTGCCGCGCATGCGTACAGTCTCTTCGCCATTTTGAATCGACGCTGCAACATGGAATAGTCGTTTGGGTAGTTCTCTGAAAAACCCTTTTTTCCCATCGAAGACTTCTTCAAATTATGAATTCAAGTGATCATTGTTATGCCCTAAGAAGTAGTGCACCCTATGATGTAAAAATTGTAAGTACTCCCTTTGCAGATTTTAACGATAACGTCGCCCCATTTTTTTTTTTCGAAGCCACCACGACAGTTTGACCGAAGCTCCGACGCTGCGCGCCGGTGTTGGAGCTTCCCGGAGTTAGATCAATAGCAGGCGCGGATCCAGGATTTTCCAATAGGGGGGGCCGGAAATTCGAAATTCGCGCAGACCATTATTTAAACTTACCAATACTGACAAGGTCATATTAGAAGCACTGGACTTTAATAGTGTACTGGTACCTACAAACGGGCACAATTATTTTGGAAAGGGGACATGCTCACGTCACATCTCTTGTCCGATATCAACATTCCCCGTTTTCAAGTTATGCTCGCGCGCAATTTTTTTGACATTTCCATCAGTGGGGGCTGAAGCCTCTTGCCCCAATATCTATTTCCTGGTTTAATAATTTGGCGAGTGAGCGGAAATTTGAGCTTATGTATGTTGTGAAAAGTGTTAATTGTCACCAAAATATACGAGATAAGATATAACAAATGCATATTGGTAATTTTTAAATTTTCGGGGAAAGAGAGGCTGCAACACCATCCCGCATTAACTGCAGGTGTTTTGAAATCAAATCAGACTCCCCAAAAAAGTATTAACCAAAACGCACGAATCCAGTTTCAAAAATCCAAAAAAATGTCAGCTTCAGAGGGGGGCACATCACCCCTCAGACTCCCTCTAAAAGTATTAACCGAATCGCACGAATCTAGGTAAAAAAAAAATCAGCTTCAGAGCTAGAGAGGAACCCCCCCCCACACACACACACACACACACACACACCCCCTGTGCGTGCAAGCGTGAAATTAACGCTGGCGCTAATGCGTAAGCAGGGGCGGCGGAGCTATTTCCAAAGTGGAAAGCACCAACAAAAAAGGGCACCTACAAAGCGAAATCTCAAGGCGAAATTATACATTTTTTTAGACATTGGTATATACCCTTTCATTGTGATCCCATTATCAGGGACGATTTCAATATTTGTTTTTCTTTATATATCATACAAGTTATTGCTTAAGCATCACACTTTCGGCTGAGTGTGATTGTCTGAATATTCATTTGCGAGCGAGCAAAGCGAGCGAGAAAAAAAGGTAAGATCTGTGAGGTCGCAGAGTGAAAAATTACATCTTAGAAAGAGGAAAAAACCAAATCATGATGGGGTTATAAGCATCACGGAAGACTGAAAAAACATTTGTTTTAAAGTGACATATAATTGTATCATCTATAAATGCGAGCGAGCAAGCAAGCTTTAGGGGAAATTACTCTTAGTCGCTTTAAATTAGTGCAAGACTAATGATGAGCAGGTTAGGGGGCACGTGCCCCCCCCCCCCCGTGCCCCCCCCCCCCCCCCCCCCCCCCCCCCCCCCCCCCCCCCCCCCCCGTGCCTACGTGCCTGATGATGAGAGGTTAAGGGGACACATATCGAAAGGGATAAAGACACTTATTAGAAAAGAAAAGGAGCATGTGTCAAGGTACAAAGAGTAATTATCAAGGTTTAAACTGGGCACTTCTTACACCTGAAAGGAGGCACTCACCAGAAATGAGATTGGGCACTTATGAGTATGGGAAATGGGCATTTGTCGACGGAAAAGGGGCATCCATCAGAAATTGATTTATCAGAGGTGAAAAGGGGCATTTATGAAAAGGGGATAGGTCCCTTAATAGAAAGGGAAAGGGGCACGATTCAAAATAAAAGGGCAGTTAGCAAAGGTGAAAATGGGCACCCATCATAGATGAAAAGAGTACCTATCAGGAGGGGAAGGGGTACTTTTCAAAGTAAAACGAGCATCTCTCAGATTTGAATAGGGGCAATTATCGGAGGTGAAGAGCGCACTGAAGTGAAAAGAATTAACTTCTCATATATGAAAATGGTCATTTACCAGAGATGAAAAGGGACACTTTTTATTTATGAAGGGCCTCATTTTTCTAAATAGCCCTTATCAGATAGGAAAGGGGGCACATGTGTTGATGAAATGTGCGCTTATCCGAGTTAAAAAGGGGAAGGGGCACTTCTTTACAAAGTAAAAGTGGCCCTTTGGGGAGGGGGGTACTTGAAGAGTGGGGCGAACTTTGCCCCCTACCCCTGCCACCCGCCCCATCATCATCGCTTGTAGTTCACGTATGCACCCCTTCCTCCTAATTCGTTGTTACCGTCACTGCCATTTACGTATGGCCGGCCGGCGTATTTTTATTTACACGCTAGCGAGGGGAATTTCTCGATTAATTCCAATGAAACCGCTTAAAATTCCAATTTACATCCAGGAGAAAGTTTTCTTAACTTTTTCTTGAAACACTTGAACGGTTATGGAAACTGTTTGTGTTTCTAATCTCCAAATATTAATATTATTCTGCATCAAATATAAAACATTGATTTCTACTGTGATATGTAAAGGCACGAACTTACGTTAATACATACACATAATTTGTTTGTAACCAAGAAGGTGCACCATGGTAATACATTTTAACAAACACATCAACATGTTACCTAGACAACTCATCACCATAGCCATTGTAAAACCATATATTAATGATACATGTAAAATATAGATTGAAGCAATTCTCGTCGATTGGCTGTATCCTGAGTGTGATTTATATAATGGATTTTGAGTAACATTTGCATCTACCTGTAGTTGAAGAATAGATACAGTGTATAACATCAATTAAGTTGGAGTTCAATTGGAAGGAAGTAACGAGGAATATTAAAGCAAGGGAGACTGGGAGATGAGGAAAGCAGGAAGTTAGAAATTGAGAGATTACTCGCGTGATAGCCTTGCATTAATGAATCCTTTATATAATGTTGTCTTGAGAGAAAGTAGACGATTTTTTTAAATTGGAGATTAGTGCAAGTATTAGATATATTGGAAATAGAATTAATGAGAAATTTATTTTTTATCGAGATCAATACATGGGGGGGGGGGCACCATCAAAATAGGGCACTTTCTGGAATATAAGGTGCACCTACAAAGGGAAACATCAAAATGTAAATCTACCATATTAAGACATTGATAGACGTACGCGCAACGCATGTCACACACAGAAAAATGAGAAGAAAAGAAAGAATTTTTTTTTTTTTAAAAGAAGATAGAGGAAAAGGAGAGAGACAGAGAGAGGGAGAGAAAGAAAGAAAGAAAGAAAAAAGGAAGAACATGAAACTTAACTTTACACTTAGGCCTACATATTACATTTCCGACTGAGTTGGCATGTGCTTAAGTAGTCTGCGGACGAAAGTACAACAATACGAAAACAGAAGTTATATGAAATTGTCTTTAAGAGAGAAAGAGAGGTTAAATTCTAAAATGAAATGAAAGGGGGTATGTGACTCTCAAGGAGGAAATTACAATTTCTATCGCTCATGACGACTATTTGGAATTTCCTAATTTTTTTTAAAGTTCAAGAACTTCCTGGTGCTCCGCCCATGCAAGACTCCCGGCAACAGCGAATTATTTACACAATTTCTTGCTGTCTGCTGCCTCGAGATCACTGGAGCGAAGAAAGGTAACATTATAGCAAGAATCCCTATTCAGTGAAGGATTTATCCCTTTTATTATTAAAGACTCCCGACAAAGGCTCTCCCCCTGCAAAATTGGAGAGAGTTTTATGTAGTTTAAGCTTCTAACAACCACGCCCGTGGACTTTTTATTATTTACACAAAGGTAAAAGTGTATAGCAACTTAGCAAGAATCCCTATTCAGTGAAGGATTCATCCTTTTTTATGCAGATGCTTCTTCTACCATTCTTGACCAGAAGTGCGTTTCAAACTCAATGATATGGGCATCATCCCATTGAATGTTGTGTCCAGTGTTACGGGTTTGTTTTGCTACTTGCTGCCTAATCTGAGGGCTCTGTTGTGCTCTTTAAAAAGAGGACACAATAGGGGCGGCACAATTTAAATATCAAGGAATGTATTAGAGTTTATTTCTAAAATGAAATGAAAGGGCTATTTGACTTTCAAGAGCGATAAAAACTCTAATCCATCCCTTGAAATTTAAATTGCACTGCCCCCATTCAGTGTGCCATTTTCAAAGAGCACAAAAAGGCTTCAGATTGAAGATTCCATCTCATAAAATTGTCTATCAGAGAGAAAGAGAGTTTATTTCGAGAGAAAAAATGAAATGAAAGGGCTATTTGACAAGAGCCCTTTCATTTCATTTTAGAAATAACCTCTCCTCCTCTCTTATAGACAATTTTCTCTCTTGAAAGTCAATAACCCTTTCATTTCATTTTAGAAATAACCTCTTTTTTTCTCCTAAAGACAATTTCTTTCTTGAAAAGGCTCTACCAGACCCCTCAAGCTCTGCCACGTTGTATGGATCCATTAGAAAGCAAAATAAGCCCACTCAATAATTGATACATATTAAAACGTCATAGCGATTCATCCAAATAAGAAATCCACGTAAGAGGCATTTTGAATGTTTTAAGAAAATTCTTTCAAATTCCAGGATATTGGGTGTTCTTTTTCAGGAAACTCTATTTAAACGAGTGGAAGCACTTATCTGTTTTTTTTAAAACTGTAACAATTCTCCTTGGATCAGATATAGACCAAAAACAAGCCTCATTATCTTCAGTATACAAGTGTCATTTCGGACCTTACAGCTTTCATAGAAATCGCTTCTGGACCGTCAAAGAAAAAGTTTGAGAACCCCTGGTCTACGCATTATACACATCAGGACCAACTTGACAACTTGACAAAAATTTGAGGGGGGTTTGACCCCCCCCCCCCCCCCCCCCCCTCTGCCTTATCCATCGTTACCGTCACTACCATTTGAGTAGGGCCGGGCCCCCTCCTTAATAACGACTCCCAAGCCATCAAGAATGACCCCATAATTTATAGATTACCATTCTGCCGTTCTTTGGAGGGGCCGGGCGCGGCCTTTTCAGAAGTGTTTCTACACTAACCTTTTCATGCACTCCGGCTTAACATAAACAAGCATGCTAAGATTGTTTTGAAAAGAAGCATAATTTTGACTCAGTTTCGCATAACCTAAAAATAAGAATACGGCCAGTCACCCCCCCCCCCCTCCCCTTAATGCATCCGCCTTCACGCACCCCCTTCCCCTTGTCTTTCCCTTATTCGTCGTTACTGTCACTAATTTTTAGTGCCATTTCGTTGTCTTGCTTTCTCACCGGCTCCTCTCTTCTTTTTCTTTCCTCTTTTTTGAACTCTCTCTCTTTTCTTTACTTTTTGTTCTCTTTTCTTTTATCTTCTCCTTTTTCCCCCTTTTTTTCCCTTCTTTTTTTCTTCCTCTTTTTTCCTTCTCAATTTTTTTGCTTCGCCAATAGGGGGGGCCGCGGCCGTTTCGGCCCACCCCTGGATCCGCCACTGAATAGTAGCCAATATTGTAATAAATATGTTATTCAGCATCATCATCTTTATTTCATTGTCATCATCATAAACATTGATATCATCATCATTCATCACCATCATAATTATCATCACTGATATCATAGTAATCTTCATCATCATTTGTTGACAGCTGATTTCATTTTCAAAGAATATTTTCCACAATTTAACGTTACGACTCATGATTGGATGGGCGGAGATTAAGTGGTCTCTGGACCAATAACAAACCACACACAAATTTAAACGAATGGGACTTAGGATAAACACTCTTTGCTATAAAAGCTAATATGTGGACAATTAGACGTCAATTAAATTCATGCATTCATTTCTATATTGTCCATTTTCAAACAAAAATTACTTTTTCATTAAAAAATTACAAAAAGTTGTAAGAATTATCTAAATATGCTTACCTTCGCAGAAGCTCAATTTCCACCAGGTCAAGCTAGAATAAACGTAGCACCTGAAAAGTGCACCAATGTAATGCCAATTTGATGAGCTGAAACATGTAGCTATCACGTTTTGCGTCAGGAAATCAGCGCAGTGGGTTTGGGAGGGGTGGTAAAACACAGAACTACAGGCCTAAGGATAGGCCTATTACTTCTTATGGATATTAATTCTTCACCATGCAAGTCACCATAATGTAAAATTTCTATTTTTATATGGTCACATACAGGAACTCTTCACCAATCACTGCCATATATATGTATTACTTCTTCTCTAATTAATTTAAGTGACAAGAACTCTTTACCAATTAAGTCAGCGTAATGTTACATTTTTTTTAGGGGTATTAATCCCTATCCAAGTCACGGGAACTCTAACAAATTAATATTCATAGGGGAGGGGGTGAGAAGATCGAGAATTAAAATGGTGGCTCACATATCAGCTATAGGACTTGAATTCCACCGTGATAGCTTAAACAAATCCGGTAGTTGATTAAACTTCAAGCCTTATCTAAAAATATATATATTCTTGGCATTCCACAGTTTTTCCATTTCAAAAGTATTTGGTCTATCATAATAGTAATGTGGCTAACAGAAAACTGCATTCAACGAAAGCATAGTTTCATCGTGGCACCATTATCCTGTCACTTATATAGCATCGATCGTATTTAACAAAATCCTTCATCAGAAATGGCTACTGGCTAGGAACTTAGGAAGTGGATTATAGCTAATTATTACCAAATCTTCATAGCACCACTGAGAGAAGAGTTTTGCCCAATTTTTTAATTGTATTTTTTTTGTTTCTTAGGAAATGCGAGACCAAACTTTTGCTTAAACATTCTATAATTCACACAGATGCCAGATTATAGATTTCAACCGAGAGGTGTTACACACATGCAGGCGCGGATCCAGGGGGGGGGGGGGGGGGGGGGGGGAGCGAGCGGGCCTTGGCCCCATCCCCCCCCCCCCGCAAAAAAAAGAGAGAGAGAGAGAGAGAGACTGAGAGAGAGAGAGAGAGAGAGAGAGAGAGAGAGAGAGAGAGAGAGAAAAGGAAAAGAGTGATAAGGGAGAGAGGAGAGAAAGGAAAAGAAAGAAGAGGATCGAAGAAGAAAAGAAAAGGGGGAAACTGAAGAAGAAGATCAGTTGCCCCTCAAATAAAATTCAAATGTGGTTGATTTCTAATTCGATACCAGTGATTTACAAATGTTGTTGAAATGATATAGTTTTAGATTTGTCCTCACTTGTTAGTAAATTATACTTTTTTTGCGTTTGTTGGAAAATGACAAATTCCTAAATTTACAGTCAGGAAAGAAATATGCTTATTTAGAGGCCTACATAATTATCATGGCCCGCGGAACGGCGGTTCGGGGGCCTCGAGCTCCCCCCACTTAAAAAAAAAAAGTATATGAAAGTGAGAAAGAAAGAAAGAACAGTGACCTGCCAATGTCACAAATAAAGTATCAAAATATGCTCATCTGACCGTAATTTACTACCTAAAGCCCTGAGCTCCTGGGGGCTCCGCCCCCTGGACCACGCCAATTAATGACCTGCCAGTGTCACATATAAAGTATCAAAATATGCTCATCTCACCGTAATTAAATGCTTAAAACCCCTGAGCTTCAGGGGCTCCGTCCCCTCGACCCCACCAGGGGCCTAAGGCGGCCCCTGAATGCTTATCTGACCGTTTCAAAATGCCTAAAACCCCTGAGTTTCAGGGGGCTCAGGCCATGCCAATTAGTGACCTACCAGTGTCATGAATAAGGTCTCAAAATATGCTCATCTGACCGTAATTAAATGCCCATACCCCCTGAGCTTCCGGGGGCTCCGCCCCTTGACCCCCACCAATTTATGCTACGCTCTTCCTGATCGTAAATACTTTAGCCTCCCCCTACCACTTTGAAAAACGTTCAGCGGGGCCTGCATGTAAGAGTGGGGTGAGCGGATTTTTTTGTCTGCCCTCCTAACTTAATTTGCTCATTACGCCACCACTGGTCACCATTATACGTATTTGGCTTGCATAATTTCAAATTTGGCCCCCCCCCCCTATCCTGGATCCGCGCCTGGTTACATATGATACACATCCATAGAAATATATTGCTTTTTTAATATATCGGCCCAAACTATAAAAATAAAAAAAATTGTGAATTCGGGCCATTAAACCTCCTCTGTGAATTCGGGCCATCACATAATCTGCGCTGTCAAATTAAAAACAAAAAGTCCGTTTATGGATTCTCAGGACAAATAAAAACTTTAAAATCTAAAACATTCGCAAAAAATATTTCAATTCATTTCTTTAAAGATATAAGTTGGATATACTTTAACAAATTTAGATGTAAAATATTATGGTACATCTTTATTGCATGCAATGCTCATCGTTAATATAATACAATTCCTCATGATCGACCTCGTAAGGCTCCTGAATTTAGTCGGCTAATTTTATCATGTTATCAAAAAAAATTAAAGGACAAATTGCTGTGAATGCTGACTGGCAATGACTGTGTTCTTTTGCTGAATTACTGGTGAAAATGGCAAGCTGTGTAGTATGTGTAAAGTTTTCCGAAAAGCCTGGCCGTCCTCGTTTAGATGGGGTAGATCTTGGTTCCGCTGTAGCAGAGTTCAGACAAAGAGTTTCGAGTGTATTTGACATTCCGGCGACAGATATTAGTGAGTACCACTGCACTAGTGAGTGCGGTAAATAAATGTTACGCCTAGCCTGCCGATAGTACCGGTACCCGCATTCTACGCCAGCGCAACAGGCGCGTTGTGATTCGCATATTCGCCCCACCTCAGTGGGGATTTGCTCTGATCTTGCCCCCACCACGCACCATTTAAAACCCACACATAGGAGCATCACTATCCTGGATGTGTAGTAAAAGCTGTGCTTTTGATTCTCAACATTTCAAACACCACTGTACAAAACTCAACTGATTTCACTCAAAATCGGTACTTGTTTAGTGACAATTGATGACACCTAAATAGCAGTAAAATACATTTTTTCAACTTACTGATGTTAAAAAGAATAATTTAAAAATTAAAATTGTAAGTCTAGTGTCAAACTTTGCTTACAGCTGCATCGACATGATTGTGTAGAGTCTATGCGATATTGTGTGGTGTGTATATTTGTGTATAGACTTCTAGGTCCCTGCCTCACAGTAGGGAGGCCAATGCCCGGGCGTAAGGCTTCTACGCCTACGATTTGTGCGCTCGTCGTCCAAGTCAGAAAATTACCAGAAGAAAAAAAAAGGGGAAAAAAAAGAAAACAAATATCTATGGAATAAAATGTATAACAAATACACAATTACACACTCCACAACATACCTATAATCACGGATCTGTAACAGTCTTTCACCCTTTGTTGACGATCTTGCAGATTTTGACGTATTTTGATCCAATAATTGCGCTAGCAGACGAAAATAACGGACGCACAAGAGAAACTAGAAGGGTCCTAGAGGGCGATGAGGTTAGCTCACTAAAATCCTTCTCAATGACTGAAGGTAGAGCCTAAAAATATGGAACCAATTTAATATCAAAGAACTTTTGATAGAGATTAACATATCAGTTGTGCACAAATGTCACTTTTAACAACTAGAAAATATAACGAAAATCGATCATATCTTTTTAATTGCAGATTTTTACAAACTGCACATACGAAGGTAGATAGAGTACGATGTTTTTGTCAATCTTGCGTTGGTTTGAGCCCCATAGCTAGAGCCATCTCAAATTGGGGTGGAAAACTGTGAACAGAGACATGATTGTTCGAGCCCCAAATTGAAGTCTTGCGACATCATTATATGAATATGTATGAGCTCCGGTCTCATCGCGCGCAAAACAAATTTGACGTAGTCTCACACATAGTACCTTATTCTCAGCACTAGGTCAGTGTCGTGCAGTAATGTATGAGAAGTGTAAAAAAAGACATTTCAGTAAAAAAAAAAAGTCTACGTGAGCAGTCTATACTCCAATTGAGAAGTGTAATGAATGCCATGATTTGAACGTGTGTGTTTTAGTGTATGATATCATCATATGGTTAGTGAGAGAGAGAGAGAGAGGGAGAGAAATATCTCCGTCAGTACACGTCTATCAATGCGTGCAGTCCTATTGACTATGTTTGATTCCGTATTGTGTTCGCTGCAACTGTTGGATTTATCGATCGTATTGTGTTCGCTGCAACTGTTGGATTTTGCAGTGTCAGATTGATCTTTACTCATGAGGAAATAATTGGAATACATATCAAAACTAAGGTAGGCCTATTTATTTATTTCAATAATTTTCTTAATTTACAATGAGTGGTTTTCGAGCTTTCTCTTTTGACTCTCCATGCCGTGGCATGGCTAGCATGGCTCGATTGCGGCTTGCATGCAATTACCGTACCTGGACGGCCTGCAGTACTGTGTCGGTGTGTGCGACTAATTCAAGGCTAGCCGGTGATGATGAATGTACTTTCGCGCGAAGTTTTGAACTTGTTGTCCGGGCAATGACCATGATGACACGCCCATTCCCTCGGGCCTGTCTAATTCTCGACGTAATTTTTGGGACCATGAAATTGATTGTTTCAAGGCTCTTACGTACGGCCAGGCGTAGAAGGAAGCTCATAGGAACTAGCTGGATATCTCCTATTTTATGGAACTTCTGGAGTCAGTAGATGGGTGAGTTTTCTTAGTGAAAGAAAATGCTTTCTTTTAATGTTTGTTTTATTATAAACAAATCAGTAATTAAAAAGTTAGATTTGGGCATTGGCCTCCCTACTCACAGCATGTATGCAGTGCTAGAGGTCAATACGCATTAGCATTGACTCTCTATGCTCTGCTGGAGTGTTAAAACCCACTCCAGATCCAGCAACACATAAAGTTGTCAATGCTAATTAGTGGTCGAATTTATATCGACCACTAATATAGTAAGACTGAGACCATCGACTATTAAAGTTTAGAAAATTAAAAATTTAATTTTATTGTGACATTTGTAAATAAATGGGGGGAAATGAAATAGACATTTTAATGTAAATACTTAGTCTACTCAGGTCGTCAGGAATTTGACTCTCGAAAATTCACAATTTTAGTTTCTCACCTTATTTAATTAGAATTGCTATTGGTCGCTATTCATTATTGTTGTGATAGTTATAATGATTGTGATTCAACACTTATTCATCATTATGTGGCCCATAATTACTTGCCACTAAAACTATTGACCACTTAGATTTTTGCTAAGAAATTCATGTGATAGCATCATACATGTAGTCCCATCAGGGCATCATATGTTTAATGACACACCTCACTATGCCTGTGTGCCCTAGATATAGGTTGTTTAAACCGAAAGTGTGAGAGACGTACTTCAAAGACTCACTGGTAAGATGGCATTTTAACAAAGGGTAGGGGTAAATGTCGGTGGGCATGTGTAAATAGGGGCGATATTTGGAGCTGAAGCGCTTGAATTAGACTGGTTACTGGTAGAAGGAAAAAGAATTATATAAAGTATCACTACACGAGTCGTGACCCAAAACAGTTTTACTTTTTTCTATATTTTTCTATATTGATATAATTATAAGAAAACGTTACAGCAAAATAGTCAATTCTGACTTGTTGCCAAATATAACCAAACAAAGAAGAAGAAGAATGAGGAGCCAATTCTTAAACACTGACCGTCATTTTCTTGGACATCCATTAACAGACATTTGGACTAAGGACGGTTTGGAGAAACTGGCCCCTGCATTCACCTGTCTTTTTCTCTTCTTCAGGATATTCTGCCTCCTTCACTGCTGAAGATTCTTGCTGATGTCTTGTCTGGCTCCTTTTAAGGCAATAGTCTTGTAAATGCCCTCCCAAGTTCAATCTAATTTCACAGTATGTCTACATACCGGTAACAGCATTATATTTGACTAATTGACCTCCTGTGTTATGCAGTATTGACTGCTGCTAATCAAGAAATTTGATCACAAGACTTAGTTACAATAAAAGTCATCATTGTGCATCATTTTGCTGCATTCCCTCATGTTTATGTGCATCTATTCTATCTCCATGCATCGTGTAGATCTGGTTTATTGTGGAAAGTTGATGAAAGATTCTGACACTCTATCAGGATGTGGTGTGAAGGCAGGATGTACTGTGTACATTCTAAGAAAGAAGCTTCCAGAGCCTGAGGTCAAACCAGGTAAAAAACAAAAATCATCTGGCTACCTCTTTTCTACCTGTTTTTAATGTTAGTGATTTCATAATTCTTATTTGACTGGTAAACATATTTCCTACTATAATCTTGTAATGAAGACTACATTTTTACAAGATAGATATGATATAATAATTATAAGGCTTCCAAGAATGTTCTTGAAATATTCCCAGTCTGACATGATTTGTCTTGTATACATTCTAGCCTGACGTTTTGACACTGGGGATTATTGTGTTTCTAGATTGACATAGTAAGTCTTATATAGAAATATCAGAACTAATTTGAGCTTTTCTCAAGAATACAGGGAAGAACACATTTTAAAATGAAAGTACAATGCACTCAAATTTTCTAAAATGGTAATGCCTTAGCTTAAAGGTAAGGTAAACCATGTCATTCATAATTAACTTCACCAATTGGGGTCACTTCACTTGTCATTTGTTACCCTCATTGCAGAACCTCTGGATGATAATGGAATCCGTCAACTCTTGAACGCACTTCATGCTGCCCTACTGAACCCAGCGCATAGGCAAGCTGTAAGTTAACAGAAATCCCTTGTTTGAAACTGCACTGAAAATTGTAAATAAACAGCTAGATTATCAGTATATTTTTCAGGTGTCACGCAAGATATGATATTCTCTCATCTGCCTTTTAGTCCATACTGTCCGCTAACTGTAAATACTAAATAAATTAAAAAAACTTCATGAAATGTATTAGGATCAAGAGATACAAAGTATGTACTGGCAGAATAGGCAGCTCAAAACTGACGGACCAGTTTGCTTATAAATTTATCACAATTGTATGGGTATATGTACTTTAAGTAATTTTGCAACATGATTTTATAAAGTCTCCCTAACATAGCTTTAGCTAGGGTGACATTTGGCAAGTTAAATATCTTTTATTCAAATTCTTTTGCAGGTACACAAGATTCTGACAAGCCCTGAAACAATTGATAACATCATTGCTGCTACACCTGGGATGGCAACAGATCATATCGCTATGTGTAAGTATCAATATTCTTTCAAATTTCAACCTAATTCCACTGTATTATATGGTTATGTACCCTTTCTTTTCAGTTGTGAAATGAGATGGTTTCAGCCAACAGGGCATTAAGTCTTCAGTATACTTTTGATGTGTTATGTAACGATAGTGATAGAAACATGTAGGTGTATTTGCAACATCTAATTTTGTTGCTTGAGAACTGGAGGTATGTTAACTCTGCTTTAACTGTATCACTTATGTTCTCTTTGGCTCCGAGTAACATTGTTATTTTCTAACCAGCATTTAATTGGTTAAATTCTTGTTTTTGTTTGCAGCCATGCTGAGGGACCCGCAACTCCTTGTTCAAGTGGCTGATCCAGACAATGTCAGAAGGTGAGATTATTTATGAAACAACTGTTAGACACTTAGTCAAAGATATAGGGTTGGGGTTAGAGTTGCAATTACGTTTATGTTAAGTTTACTGTTTGGGTTTGGGTAAAGGGGTTGGTGTGCTGTTTAGGGTGAGGGGTTAGTATGGTGTTTGGGGTAAGTGGTCAGTTTGGTGTTTCGGTGAGGAAGGGGTCAGTGACTCAGTGTGGTATTGAGGTAAAGAGTAGATGTGGTGTTGGGGCAAGGGTAGAAGTTGGGAATTTGGTTAGTGTACAAAATTAACTTTAGACCAATTGTCGCCCAGCATGTGTCATGTTACCATAACACCTATTAGGAAGTACTTGATCACATTATGATCATCAAAACGTTGAGTAGAGGAGGGCTTGAATGTCTTCGTGCTCAGATCTGAGTTTGTTTTAGTCCATTGCTGGATCGGATGGTTCCTGTATAAAAGGAACAAGAGAATTTAGAAAGTTAACAGGTTGTATTAATAGGGAGAAGATGGTGTCCAGATCAACTGTTCTCTCCCTTTCTCTCTTTCGCCTCGGGGTATAAAATATGAATTCAACCCATTGGCTACTGATTTCTTTCATTTCCATAGGCTTAATACAGGGACCACCCAGTTCCAGTAGACAATGAGTTAAGTGCAAGGGTTTATTTTGTGCCAAAAGTGCACTCGTTGGACTTGTTGAGTAATTTTTTTGTAAATATTCAACCATTCAATTTCTTTCCTACATGTTTCTCACACTCATTCCTTGTCTGCCCCTCTCCTGTGTAGGATTGTGAAAGCTCATCCAGCGATCGGTCACGCTGTGATGCACATAGCAGCGTCGGTCACTGAGGAGGCTGCCCTCAGTGGCAGAGGGGGTACTCTCGGACAAGAAACTCCATTAGATCGTGAGTATAATTTTATGTACCGTATCAATTTTCAGTTTAAAATTATTTGTTTGCAGATTCCTGAAGAAAACAGTATATTTTGTGTATGGCATTCGGAGAGCACAAATCTGCTCCTAGTTCTACAGTTGCAAAAGAGATGTGCACATGATGCTATATTGATAGTAAGTAATATTTTATTAGATTATAATGAACAAACAATCTTCAAAATGATGTTGCTTTACATCCAAGAATTTTCAAATTGTATTATGGCGTGAGCAAAGATTTCTGTGATTCAATCACTTTCTCATTTTGCAAAATTACATTCAGATTTCAGAGTTTCTGACTTCTCTATTTTGCTTTCGCTATAATTTTTATATTTTAAATCATAGAATCACTTCAGATTGTAAGATAGATTGGTAATTTGAGATATATATTTTTTTAGTGAAATATTAACCTCTATTTTGTGTTTGTAGCTGCCTTCTTCCCTGATCTGACTTCTGATGAAGAGATGGAAACAGCTGAGGTGAGTTCAATACACTATTCATTCATAAGTCTGTGGACAAGGATTTAGCATTGAAGAACTTCATATTCTTGCACTCCTATCGATATATTTCATAATGTTTTTAGTTGATTCTGTATAAAGCTAATACATCTACTATTTCATTTATAAATCTTTTTTGGGGGTCAGAGTGTAATATGAAATAAATGTTAAAAGGTGTCTTTCTCTTAGCTTTATATAGCTGTTGATGTGTAATTTAGATGAACATAGACATATGTAAAAAGAACAACAAGAATATCAGATATAAATGCGTCTCAATACTCCTCAGGAAGTGGATGGAAATGGTGCACACTTTACGTGAATGAATCTGATGACCAGGGTGATGATAATAACTAATAACTGTCAAGGGCTTTATAGTGAAAGTATCCTGCATTAAGTGTAATATAGATTCAGAATTAGTGTTATTATCATTATTATTTTTGTTCTCTTTCTCACGACATAGGGTGGACCCAGCACAAGCCAGGGTACAGGTCAAAGATCAAGAGGTCAAGGAGGCATCACCACGGCACAGCTCACTGCTGCGCTGGCTGCGGCAGGAGTGGGTAGACAGGGCAATGCAGGGGTAAGGAAGCTGGTATCTCTCATACATGCAGTGTGTGTGGTCTGTCTGTGTGTAGTGGTTCCCATTGTAGGAGATGGCATTTCCTGCATTTGATGACATAAATGGTACCCTGGGGTACCAAAAAAAATTCGGCCATTTTGTTGAATTATTATTTTTTTTTTTAAGGCTGTACCCTGGGTTACCAAAAAGTGGGAAATTATTTTTGTGTGATTTTTTCAACCTTCAATTGTGTCCAATGTTCTTGTAAAAAATCCTTTAAGCAGCATGCCAGGCTACTCTTCGTTGTTTTCGTAGCTCCTCCTCCTCAGGGTCATACCTTGCAAGTCTAGCAACTCTATAGCCCCCAACATGAAGTAGGGCTACGACTTCGATTTGCGAGAGGGCTTGGGCCAGCAGGGTCAAAATAACACCATCAGCCTGCTCCTTGTCTCCCCCGTCACTCGCCCTCCTAAACACCGCTACCACATCAGCGGCCTTCTCCTCCCCCAACTTCTCTACAGCACGAGATCGAGCTCTTTCAACTTTCTCGGCCCTTGTAATCTTCCGTCTTTTACGTCCTTTCCCTTTCAGTAAATCCCCGTATCCACCATCACCTTCCACCCATGGCATTTTCAAAGTTTGAAAGTTTGACAGTAACGCGCGCGTTAACTATGTCGATGATGCGATGTTTGTGTTTTTTTTTTTTCGAAAGAGTATACAGGTACGGTACGTACGTGCAATAACATCAAGTTCTAAAATAGCCGTGGGTCGGGACCGGACGCCGGAGCTAGCTAGCACTATAGTGTGCGATAGCCACCGTAGTGCGCTTGTGATCGTGAGCGAGCGCTATAGCGCGAGCAGTGCATGCATGCACACCATGCATAGTATACACCATAGAGATACCACGGAACTATGTACACACACTCCATACATTGTACTTGAGTGGACGCGAGATGGCGCTACACAACGCGGTACCCCGGGGTACTACGGTACCCCGGGGTAACGCGTGGTGCCTCATTTGTGTTCTATGATATTTATCATAGAAATTATTTTCTTTAAAAAGGACACTTTTCACAATAATTATAAACCAGTATTTAATAGTAAAGGACTGATGAATATTTGTTAAACACTAAAGCAAAATACTGGTAATTAAATGCTATTGCACTAGTTTTTCATAAAGTTTACATATAGTTGTTTTGTTCTTGTTCATGTTGCATTGAGGACCTTACAGTCCATGGGGATGACCGCATTTTAATGTTAACAGACAACCTGATAATAAGAAAGGTCATAGCTTCCATTATATCCTGGTATCCAAGATATTCAGTGTCCAATTACTTCTGCTCTTATAACACAGATGATGTTAAGACCGTTTGAAGGACAAGTGAGCAGTGGGGGCAACCAACCCTCAGCCCCCGGCCAGCCTGCCAACCAGGGTGCTGCCCCATCCCAAGGAGCAGGAGGAGGAGGAGGAGGGGCACAGTCTCTCCTCACAGCAGATATCTTCAGACAAGCAATGAGTCAAGCTCTACAGGGAGCTCAGACTCAGAGAGGAAGAGGACCAGGGGACACCACTGATGGGGGTACATCAGCACCCCCTGTTCAAAACTTTGAGGTAAATCTCCCGAAAACTAAATCAGCAATCCTTAAAGATATATATGATCTTAATAGCAAACCAATCTGAATAGAAAGCAGAAAAAGCAGAGAAGCAAACCAGTGAAAGTTTGAACGAAATGACGTGAAATAAGAAAATTGTGAATTTTTAAAAAAATGTAATCACTACTGGTATGGGGACTTCAGATTTGCTGCTTAGGTATAGGTCACTGTGGTAGACAAAATGTCTAAAATCTCATTCCCCCCCCCCCCCTCAAAATGTTTAACTCAGGAGGGTCTTTTCTTTTTAGAGGACTTGTAATAATATGCTTTTCATAATATGTGTTGAGTAGTGCCAGAAGGGAGAAAGCGCCTATGAGAAAAACACTTATGAATTTCTTATTATTGATCGGATTGATATCAGACTTTTGTCATTCTGGTTTTCCTAGTTTTCTGCTTTCATACCATACTCACTACAAAGGTTGGAAAGCCCTTTCACAGTACCGTTAGTCGAAAAAGGAGATGTGCTTCATCTTTCCTTAGTTTCAGATACCCATGGAGAAATGGCATCTATAAAGTGATAAATGCCATGCTTTAGATTGCATTCAATAACATAATATTGATACATAAAGAAATTACACTGTATTAGCAAACCATTTTATTTGTATTCTGTACTTAATATGAATTCCCAGCCGAAACTTGGGTTCTAAGTTATAACACCTACACTTCTAATATTTATTGGTTTTTCACCAATATGAAGTTTACTCCCCAAGGGGTTAATAAAGAGTTATTTTGAACATTGAACATGTAGGTAGTATATTTTTGTAAGTGCTTGTGAGCATTTCATTGAGTAACACTTGAATAATAAACATGTTACTTTTCACAGTCCCAAATGCAGCAACTGAGAGACATGGGACTGACAGATGACGCTACAAATCTGAGAGCGCTACAAACAACAGGTGGTGATTTACAATCAGCTTTACATCTCATTCTGGAAGGCAGGCTGTGATGTATGGACTGGTAATACTAGAATGAGAGTACTAAAAGCTATGGGATAGATCTTCAGGCAGCATTGCATCTCATTCTAGTGGGAATGGTGTATATGGGCCATTTATTATAAAGCCTTTTGATTAATCGTAAGGTTGATATTGAGCGTGGGTCTATGGCCTATCGTGTATTGATCAAACTTAAGATATGATACGGGGCCTAGAAGTGTGGATGTTTGTGGGGTGGGGGGCGTGGAGTACATGCAATTGAGCACTGTAAAAGCTACATTATCTCAGTCCCAATTGCAGCATTTGAGAGACATGGAGCTGACAGACAAGACTACTAACCTGACAGTGCTAAAAGCTACAGGCTACAAGAGATGATCTACAAACAGCGTTACATCTCATTCTAGAATCTAAAGGATAGGATGGGATAGGATTCAAACAATTTGTAATATCCGGTGAAGGGGCACGTACTAACTTTTTAGCGCTGCAAGCTACCGGAAGAGACCTGGGCCCCATTCCACAAAAAACTTGTCATCAGTGACAAATGACAGTTTTTGTTATAAGCTACTGAACTCCTTGCCTCTGATTGGTTATCAGCAGATTTGTCACTGATTTTTGTCATTTGTCATTGACAAAAGGCTTTGTGAAATGGGTCCTTGAAGGCAGCTTTACATTCTACAGAGTAGGATTATTTGATTCGAAGACTATTCAATAGGGCTGAGGGCTTTGGGACTTATCTCCTGTTCTGAAAGTGCTACAAGCTTGCCGAGGAGACGTCCAGGTAGCATTACATCTTATTCTAGAGGGCAGGATGAGGGGCATACTCTAGATTTACAGGCAGCCTTCCATGTCCTTCTCATTATAGATAGCAGGCAGAATATATTTTTGTCTGTTCAGAGGCAAAAGGGCATTGACTCTGTATTGAAGTATACAATTTAATGCCCTTCTGGCTCTAAACAGACGATATAATGCCTGATAAATAATCAGGGGAAACCCATTTTTGCATAGTACATGTAGTCATATTACCTGTGCAAGATCAAATTGAGGCATTGTTAACATTAATAAAGAAGACTCTCAGTTCTCATTCGTGTGGATGTGAAGATTATCACAATATCTGTTTTTATATATGTATATTGATGGCCTTATTGAGGGAAGTTAGAAGGGGTTGTCACTATCCTAGAATGTGCAGCTTCAAGATTACTTTTCTCCTTTTATTCACAGGATATTTTGGAATAATGGGCAATGCCTGTCAAGATATGGGAACATCTACATTCAACTCTCCTCAATATTTACATAATGTTGCATACATTATATCTTTCTTATAATTCAATAGTCCAGAACCCTACAAGTTTCCTTATAAATTATGAGGCATTTCACAATCTTGAATCAAAGTTCTCCACGCTATAAAAAGTTGGCAAGGAAGTAAATAGATGTGTAATGATAGCATAATCCACAAAGTTTCTACATGTACATAAATAAGTAATGCACGACAGTAATAACGTGTATTTCGTTAACCGGTATGTTCTTGCTCATATTTAAATTATTAAAGTGTTCTTGATAGTAACTCTATTCAGTGTAGTCTTTGTATGTGTGAGTGTGTGTTTGTAGGTGTGTCTTATCATTTATAAAGAAGGGGAAGTGGTATGCCTCTTGTTACAGGGGTGGTTCAAGAGCAACATCTGACTGATCTGAGGAGGAAAGCTGGAGAGAAAATAGGAGAGAGAGAGAGAGAGAGAGAGATGGATGAGAATGATAGAGAATTCGGAACTTGCAGTGCTCAAATGGAATGATACATTGAGTGAAGGAAAGAATCTTTGAATGAGGTTGAAAGAGTACACACAACAGAGAAAGAGAGAAGAATAGAGAGAGGGAATGATAGAGAGAGAGAGAGAGAGAGAGCAAGACAAATAAAATACTATTTGTCTGATTCTTCTATTTTCCCTACTATCTCTGTTATCTCTACTCTAATTGTTGTTATCCTTTTGAATTACTATGCAAACAAACAAGAGAGAGAAGACTAGAGAGAGAATGAGAAGCGAGATAGAAAGAGAGAGATTTCAAAATCATTATTTCTCATGTTTTGGGGATAGTACAAACATTACATACTAACGCAAAAAAGGTATGATTTCAGTTTTCAAGTTTTATTACATTAATCTTGACAAAATAAATTATTGCGGCAAATTTACAAAAGATGGCAACAGTTGGGAACTAAATAAAAGCAAACAAAAATATTTTGTTCTAAATATACAACTTTAAGTAGATATTGAAAGAAAATTAAGCTTGTGCAAAAATATGATGTGCATTTTACATTATTCCAGTTTTAATGAAGCAAATAAAATCAGGACATATTACATAATACATCCTAGTCACTTTGAGAATGCATAATCAAACATTTACGAAAATATGTTGACATTAATCAACATAAAAATACAATATATATTTCTCCAAATATATACTTTCTTCTTTCATAGTTCTTTCTCAAAGAATTTCATTTGTAGCGAGTGTAATATTACTCGCTATATATACAAATATGTACATTTATGCACACATTACAATTATCAACAACATTTGCAGGAACATTCATGTTGGTGGAAAAGGTGACATGGAAAGGTTCATCAGAATTATGAAAATACTTCTTTAAACTATCTGTATTTTCTCTGTATTTTCCCTGTAGACTGAAGAATCCTAACTCACTTGTACCACAATATTATTTCACAAATGCAAATGATCGGAGTTGGCACATGGAAACCTACACATACATTTTGAAACCTGTTCCCCAAATATTGTGTAAACTTAGTCAAAGTTATGGATGCATTCAGTTCAAAATAATTCATGCCATCAACTTATTTCATTAGATTTATTGGATTGACAGTCACAAATATTACTGCACGTAATTCACGCAAGAACAAGAAAATAAATTATCAGTACTGCATTTTCATTATATCATAAACCTTGTCTTCATCATTAATCAATTAAATAAGAAAATAACAAATAACACACACAAATATTTTAATAGAGATATTCAACCCTGTGAATAGAATTCAATTATGATTACTGAAATTCATTTGTTTGAATCACGTTGATTTCTCATTTTAGTAATCATTTCCATACCACATGTGATCGAAATGGAGCAACATACATACAGGGGTTTACTATCCACTGATTCATGACTATTTACTGAGTTTCTATCCCTCTTTCCAAACATAAATGAAAGATGATATACACATCCACCCTGAGTCTAATGCAGCATAATCACCTGGAAGTTTAATTCATCAATCACACATCATAGAAAACTACCCGAATTTCTCAAAAATAGCCTTGCATTAGTACATGTAGTTCATTTTCTATATATTCACCACGCTTGACATGGAAAACATGTTTCAATCTGAAAAATTGTACTCTAGTTCTATAAACAAAACACTGTTTTGCTCATGGAGAGTAGTTCTTCAGTCATAGCATTCTACTACACTGATACCACAAGACATCAACAAGCACAAATGGCTGTCTTTAACCCTTTGTATGCTTTGGTCTACTTAAGGAACAAATAGTGAACAGCCTAGGTGAACTTTTGCACATGCATAGTGTATATGTCACATTTATGCTTTAACAATGTAGCAATCTAGAGCTGCGATCCATAGCCAGTAAAGGGTCAGACAGCCCCCTCAAGATAAAGAAAAATTAACAAAAACAAATAAATAAATAGATAAATAAATAAATAAATGGGTATTTTGGGCTTGTAACTGGACTGTAACTGATGATATCATCCAAGTCTACAGCCACATACTTCTAATGATTTGTTATTTCCTGAAAAGATAAATATTTTATTTGCAAAACTCCACTCATCATTTACACAAAATATACATAAATACAGCCTTCCTTTTCTGTACTACCCTTCACACAAGACAGACAGGCTCGATATGTACCCTCTCTTATTAACTCACATTTTGTCAATAGTATTTACTGCATACATACCAGGAGTCACATTTTTCATTTTCTTTGTCAACTTGTAGCATAACTACAGTAGCACCACTCTTAACATTAATATATTGCATGTTATTGTTGATGCTTGTCAAATGTGTGATTTGTACATGTCAGTAAGTGGAGCTAAAAATCTAGAAATTGATTTTACTGGCACATCAACTTATTCAAACACACTGATGAACAAATGAATATGTAGGCTAGCAATGCTGCTACAGTATAGAGATCAACTGTTATCTTACTCTTGTGATACTAAAGCAGGAGGGAATCTGTCAAAAAAATAAAAGCCTTGTTCACACATGTTCCATAATTCTCTCTCTCTTTCCCTCTCCCTCTCTCTTTCTCTATGGAACATATTTTTTTATAAAACATCTAAGCCCATCGAGTACACGAGGGACCTTGCTCCATGCAGATATATTTTTTAATCAATACTTGCCATACATCAACATAATTATGGGGGAACAAAAATGTAGCCGACCATGTCACGTGTGAACGAGCCCTAAGAAGTAACTGAGTGTATAGATGAATATGTTCTACTCCTTGCTATCAATGTGAACAAGCCCAAAGATGAATATATTCTACTCCTTGCTATCAATGTGAATAGTACCATTTATTCTTTAGTCACACACTTCATCATAGCATGAAAGCTTTGGTATTTATTCGAAAAATAGATTTCTCAAGGTAGCCACCATTACACACACTTCTGCATCAATATAATCATTCACCGAGTAGCATCGATTCTCTAAATGGCTATACATTCTCGTGTGTAACACTGCACCTTACAGCGTTGACACATGTACATGCATACACGTACATTATATTAAACAAAAGCAAACATAACAAACTCATGAATTCAGTCTACTTTGTCTTCGTCAACATATATCTCCTGAGGGTGTGCGGGCATCCAAACTCCTGCAAAGTGGAGAAACCGATACCGTAAGTAGCTGCCTCACTGCACTATCCTCTGTTATCCTCAACTCATGGTTGAGAGACTCTCTGCAGAGTCTTAGGTCAGGTCTATCGAGCCATCAAATGCTTCGAGACGGAGACTCTTTGGTTAAAGAATAGTCCACCTTTAACCCTGGCATTCCTTCGTTGTCATTTTCTGTCTCCATCACTTGTAAGTAGCTTGCGTCATGCACTGTTGACCCCGCTATGGCCTTGTGATGCTTGCATACGTAACCTTACCAATCTTGTAGGCACCATATGCTACGGCACATCCGAGAGCGATCTTCCCGAAGAAGATGAACTTGTTGGCTGATAGGTAGAGTACTGCCTCCTGCATAAGAAAAATTAGAAGAGAAAAATGTATAAATATACCAATTGGTTGTTGTTTTGTATATAAGTTTGAAAAATATTTTTAAAAAAGCAGTATCTACAAGAAGGTATGGTTTTCAAATTGGTCTAACACCAGCTGCACTTGCCCTTAAAGGAAACCGAACCCCAAGTAATAACTTTACTTATTCTGAGAGATTTTTTATATTATTGCCCATACATCTACAAGATTCCCCACCAAAGGTTATGAGAGAGGAATAAAGCAAAAATAAAGTACAGTTTCTCAACACGACATGGGTATCGCCATTTTCTTGATAATGTGACGTACTATGCGAAGTCGTTTATCAAGTAATGTATTCAAATTTATGGATGCTTCTTTCCCAGACGTGTGTGGTGATGAAGCATTTCGTCCACCTGCTATTATCCTTTGTACTATAATTGCCAGAACGCAAATTGCATAAATAAGTTAGTTCTCTTCTGGGGTGAAGGTTTCTCATAAATGAAATAGATTTGTCAACTGCTATAGTGTAGTATTTATAAATGAATTTTGTTACAATTGTGCCCCTAATATTTATTTTCACCTAATTTAATTTCTATCATCTCAGTAATTTTTTTTGTATTGAAAAGTAAAGGTTTCGTTATTGATTTAAAAATTCTTTGCAACTAAAGCTTGGTGCATGATACATGTACAACTTCAACAGGTACGTCACATTTTCAAGAAAATGGCTGCGCCCATATCATGCTGAAAGGCATCACATCATGCCAGGAATATCTTCATTATATATATCTTGTACATTTTCGTAAGGAATATTGTACATCAAAGGGCAGGAATATATCTCATTTTTCAGAATACCTACACTTATTCTTTGGGTTTAGGTTTCCTTTAACATTTAACAATGTTGCATTTCACGGTGAGGAAGTATTTAAAAAACATAGAGTCCATTGAAGATTGTGAAAATAACTTGCCCAAGAATAGGTACATGCCAAACATGAAATATTGTGTTCTCGACTAAACTCGGCCAACCATGTGAAATGTAAAGGAAGTGCAATCTTCATGATGCTCAGGTGTACAAGTTTTATCAGAATCCCCTAGAACTCATGGAAGCAGTTCCCTCTAAAACATTCTTGCAGTAGACCGATCATCAATCTAACCATAAAATGCCTCCAACATCGAGGGCGTATGAGTGATTAACCTTTGACCTTACCCATCCTCCATTGTCGGCTACCCACGTGCAGACTCGGCTTCGGATGTACTGAAGGGCCCACACCATGAAGCGGTGGAAGTAGTCGATGCTGTTCCTCTGGAGGGCAAAGATGGCGACGTCACTGCAGAAGAAGAAGAGGACGACGATCCTCTCCCTGGTGATGGTACCTTGGAAGAAAAGCTCCGAGAGTAGATCCCAGAACATGGCCGCTGAGATTTCATTGTCCCCTACCGTCTGTGAGAAAGAGACGGATTTCAATAGAAGATTAACAATGCCAACGTGGGTTATATTACGTATAGAGTTTACTTTATTGACAACAAACATTTATATCACAATAATGTAATTCACAATCAGCTCATCCAAGCCAAGGTACTGCATACAACATTTTGGGCATGATTAGAGGAAAAAAATGATGGATTTCTCTAATGAATAAAACAGATAGAGGTATAGCTGCGTTTTAAAACAAGATGTTTGATTTCTTACATCCTCAACAGATAGGTTTTCCCCTTACAGTATATCATTTACATGTTTGTCATATTTTAAAGTACATTTATCTAAAATTAGCTTTAAAAACATTGCTATTGAACATTGTCATAAAATGAAGTTAAATTTCAATTCCATTTATCTGAATTGTAAGATTAAACATTCATGTTTGAATAATCTGTCATCCTGAGGAAGAAACAAACATTGTTTTTTAATAAATGTAATTAATGATGAGCATAACTGTAGTTGATTCCACTATTCCACAGGAATTTTAGACTTTCATCACCATCCTCAATTACTTTCTAAAGTCAAATAGTACCTCTCTAGCCTTTGCTCTGACTCCATCTCTCTCCCTCGAGGAGGCAAACTGGTCTGCAAGTTTCTTCAGATCTCTCCCGCTCTTGGCCCATCTGGGATTCTTGTACATCTGGAGTGAAGGGGTAAAGCTTCCGTTTGCACTCATCTTCGTTGAATCAACTTGTGGATTGAATTGGAAGGCAGAAACATTCACTGCTGGCTCTTTCTGTTTGGATTCTAAGGTAGCACTGAAAGTGGGGTGAACAAGTCAGAAATGAAATGCTGGTTTAATAACAAGATGAGACAAGATTTATCATAATCATTGAATATTAATCAAACGGGGGATTCCCCTCTCTTCCAATTGTTTCATAAGTATGAAGACATAAACAATGAGATGGGGAATCTAAAGTTAGAGATGATCTTGCATAATAGCAATACTTAAAGTGGTATTGGCAGTAACAAAGTAAAAACAAACAATGATTCTATTTTGGGAGACAAATTGGCACTGATTCAAAATATAAATGTAATGCTAACACAAACACAGTCATCCCCCATGCCTTGTGCCTGCATTGTCAACAACTTGTTTATCTAAAAAACATGAGCCCCAAAATCAAAACCATGAATCACATTACACACAGCATTACACACTGTATATTTAAATAAATAAACAATATAATGTTACAGGAAATAATTCATTAATTTATCATGAAAACAAAGCTTATTCATACATTTTGTAACTATACATACATGTATGTCATGCTTGAAATGTTTTGTACTGATGACTAAACTAGAAATGTTACCTAAATTCAGGAATCCCAAATTATGTGGAGGCTCATTGCAAAATACGAAAAGTTAGAAGATTAGGAAATAAAACTGACGTAAAAAATATCTTACAAGACAATGTTTTGTTGTTGTTGTTGTTGGTTGCTTTAATATGCATCAGACCATAAAGAATTCTTTCATCACAGTTATATTGTTATTTCTATAAATAAATCCCATATTCTCATTTTCTGATTGTTGTAAATAACAGACAGTGAAATGACCTTAGATTCTTTTGTTTGAAATTGCTTCAACCCACTTGCAGCTTAGATACAGCTCTAAAAAGGAAAACAAACACAACTTCTCTGCCCTTGCATCAAAACAAAAATATTGGCAACTTTCCAGGGAGAACCCCAAGTTTGCCGCCCAAAGTTGTGATGTTTCACACCAATGTGACATTTCTTAACTCAAGATGTAAACTTCCTTATTAGTATGACCTTTCGGATCTGGACTTTTTATATACCAGATCCAGCATCATTTAAATTTATATATACACAAATTTAAAAAATATTCATGAGTGGTGTACATGTACATGTATGCCATACCTGGAGGTTTTATTACATGTATCCAGGAGAAAACAAACAATACCAGTAGATAAAATGATGTGTCATGTACATGTATGTCATTTTCTGAAGTGTTGTGTTTTGCACAAGTGGCAATGAATATACAATTGTTGGTAGCTTGCAGAAATAGATATTGACTTTTTAACATTTGCGATCTATTGCTTTTAAACATGTCCATCAATATACATGTACATGTATGTCTACATGTAGCTTTTAACGGAGATTAAACTGTATTCAAAATCAAAATTCTGGAAGTGTCATAATCTCAATATGATTTCTAGGCTTCTACATGTAGCTAGTGCTTAGAGTGCTTAGCAATATTAATTAGGAAGGGGAGTGAATGGCAAACAAACTTTATTTTGCACTGTGATGGTTTTAGTTTGAGTCTATTGACTCACCTGTATTGATTGGTAGTGATTTCACAATGATCATCGGAAATACAACAATAATACCTTAAACCACAACGTGTCATTTTTAGGAAGCTTTTAACAGAGGGGAGCTTTAGGAGTCTAAACAATTCAATAGGTTACCTTAAATCTATGATTCACCTGTATTGATTGGTAGCAAACTAGCTATTTCACAATGAGTACCAGTATAAGAATGGGCAGGAAATACAACACTAACCACAATCTGTCATTTTAGGAAGCAGATGTTTTCTGTTGACAGATTACGTGTATGGGAACATTAGTAGAAGGAGAAGGAATAATGTACATGTAGGGTGACTAGGGTCTATACACTATGAACATGACGGACAAAGAAAGCGGACAAAATATACAGTTCCTCAGGTAGACAAAGGAACATCCTTTCACTGCTATTATGTAAAAATGTGTAGAAAAGGTGTCACATGCATATTCACCTTTTTACATAATAGCAGTGAAGGGATGTTCCTTTGTCTACCTGAGGAACTGTATATTTTGTCCGCTTTCTTTGTCCGTCACATTCATAGTGATAATGTATGCCACGCCTAAAAAATGTCTTTTAACTGGTGGCAATTTCACAACTATTTTAAGAATCAAGTTCAATTGACAGGAAATATAATACCTTGATAACCACAATCGGCATTGCAGGAAGTATGTTGGTGTTTCTTTTCTACTTTTTAAAATCTTCTTTTAAAAATGAATCAAGTCAGAACAGGTACATGTAATGTTCCTTTATTTACCTGAATGATTCACCTACACGTGTACCATACGTATATTGATCGGTGGTTATTCACAATGAAATACAAGAACAGAACGGATATTTATTTATAGCAAACAATACATGAACCTTGTATTTTAGGGCATACATGTAGAAAACCAGGAAGCTAGTACCTGGGGATATCCCTCAAATAAAAAAGAGAGCTGAAAAATGGGTTTATGTTGCCAAATACATAATATTTATAGATATTGCAACAGCATATGCGATGTACTTTTTAAAGGGGCATACAATTGAATATTTTCACACAAAAAATAAAAAAGTTTCATTAAACTAAAAGCTAAAGTGTAAGCTCACATGTACATTGTAAAGCTACAAAATGCACATACATGTAAATATTGTAGGGAACTCTTGCCATAATTGATGAAGGCATTTTGAACGACATGAAATCAGATCTATGATTCATGAAAAGAACATATAGCAGGTTCATACAATGTAGCTGGTTTGAAATTTTTAATGGTAAGGGGATAATTATCATAATCTGTAAAGCGTTTAGAGACATTATGTATTAAGCGCTATATAAAAGCGCAATATTATTATTATTTTATTATATAATAGAAAAACAGGATAGAATACACATACAAATTTAAATGTATAGTTCTGCTGTGCCTCAGTAATTGGTCCATGTCTAATTATAGACTTACTTGTCATTAATTTCATACAGTGTCACTGGTCACTGCTGCATTATCAAATAGCGAGAGGTTAGGGACTTTTCCTACCACTACTGAACACATCCTCCATGTACCATCTGTTCAAGTTGGAACATGTTTCTTTGTTACATGAGCTACTTCTACATTTTGTGGTGGATGCATTATGTCCCGTGACAGGTGCGAAATGCTACTCAAGATACAACATACCCTACTGCTATAATAATAACTATGACAAAAAGGGGATTTTAAATTCTCTGAGCATTGTCATCCCAAAATATAAATAATAATAATGTTGGTGAGAGCTTGTGACTATATTTATAAACAACAATACAGAAACTCAATATCATATACACTGTATTTCCCACATGATGGTCATCTTGCATACAGTGTATATCCAATAGATATCCTTGCACCCCTCCCTACCCCTCACCCCAAACCCACCAAACCCTTCTTTTTTCATCCATGCAGGGAGGTTACACATAAGAACTACTGTATAGGCCTACACTGTACTTGTGTATGTACATGTAATTGACCTTATCTGAACTATTGACCTGATCTTCAGACTCTTCACCTGCCAATCAATAGAAGTGTTTACTAGCAGAGAGGCTGCCACAATACAGAGTGGAGGAAAAAAGAATGATCCCGTTTCCCTGGTGCTTGGTGTAAACAGTCTGTTTATAAATCCCACTTAATCCCTATCCAGTCATATGCATTGAGGTGTGATAGAAAGGTATTATACAATGTATACAGAATATGCCTATTGTCCTGTCCTATTGGTTTCAAGGTTAATTTTAGTCACTTTGAAAAGCAAATAGGTATTTGATTCTAACACAACACAACATGTTTGATTTCCCCCCAAGTAGAGATGGATTTACTTTGAAAATATATCAGTCTTTAAAAAATTAACAATGATATTAAATAAAAATGATGCAAACTGTGGTTTCCCTGTTTACTATTTTCCCTGCATTTAAGCATCACAGCTGTGATTCACACAGTAACAATTGAACAAAGAATTAAATGAATTGTATGTAAATCAGCTAACACTGGTTCTGTTGAAACTCATAAATTTAGTATGCTTGAGCAACTTTGACATACTGTAAACAAAGATTCCCCCTAACAAAGTCTTGCCCAAATAGGGTCATTGATTTTTCACTCTCAACCTACCACCGCACCTGTTGATGCCTCTAATACTAACAAAATATTGCACAATAAGCTATGACGCAGAAAAAGAAAATTCTTGACTTTAAATTAAATGAATACAAGTACATGTACATGTAATAGGTACAAGTACATTGTATGCACCTACAGTACGAGCAAATTGCAAGCTTTGTACTAATTGCATCATTCGATAGTCCAGTAATGATGCTGAGCAGTACATATACCAACAGCTATGACAAAGGTGACAATTTTATATGATGATGAGGGTGATGATGAGAGTGATGTAACTGTTTTCAACATACATGTACATGCTGGTATTATGAAAGTGCTCATTTTACAACTCTTGATTGATAAATCCCCTAAAGAAACCTCTACTCCTACTTTAGTTGCAATATATATAACACTTAGCAAATCATTGATCTCATTATTGATCTTTTGAACCCAACTTCTTTACCCTGCTTAACGACCAAAACATCTAACATCGCATCAATAACAAGTGTTTCACAATAATCTAAAGGGGTTGGGCAATGTTTTGATTTTTGATTGAAGATACAGTATTTGCAAAACTCATTGTTCCCCCATCCCTCATCCAATTCAGGCCACCCTAGATCTGATGACATCATATGCTATATTTAGATGATGATGTCATACATGTACATCCCAGGGATGTTGGTAATTCCTTATGTGGACAATAAGAAAGAGAGCCACACCCAAAGATGACTCAATTACGGTGGTAGTGGTATCAAACAAAAGATTTGCATATTGTACATTGACAATAACAATTAATGATGTGTCATATATTAAAAATGAGGGAATTCCACACTTGAGGCAATGAAGTTCAAATATATAAATTGATTTAATTGAACAGAGGGATACTCTGTTCCAGTTAATGCACTTTGTAATGTATTCCCCCTCCCCTTCCCTTCTCCTTCCCTTTTTTTCCTGTTTGTATTTTTTTCCTACATTTCCATGAAGCAAATTATCTCCAAGAATTGACAAAAATGTTGGTGTTGTGTCAATTGTGAAATGAACCATTTCACAGCATGAAACTTGGTAAATCTGAACCACTCGCAAACTTCACACAACCTTATGCACGCAATATGTTCTGGATTCACCGTAACATGAATATTTTTTTCTTTGTCTTTTAAGACAGTGAACCTGCCGGACATCCGTCAATTCAACTTAGCATAAAGAACTACCCGATACAGTCGAGGTGCATTATGCATTTTAACTAAGAAGCCTCATACAGAGGAAACGTGATCTTGTCAGGACATGAACAAAATGTTTCCTTTGTTTTCTGTTTCTCTTTGTTCCTCATTTTCTCATGTTTCAAAATCTTCTCCATTACACATCCTCCGCAGGATGATGTATTATAATTAAAAATATATACTAGTGCAAAAACCAATACCGGTAGTAATAAACAAAACCACTGCTTAGGAAGCAGGCAGTCTAATTAGTTTCTTAGAACCAGACATAATTAGAAATTGAAACCTCCAATCTTATAAACTGGGCCACAGATTTTGTTTATTTTAATTGCCAAGACACTTTACAAATGTACAAAAATGAGAGCTTGTGAGAATTGTGATATCTATCAAAATGTATTTAGGGGAAGTCCCATCTTAATTTCTCTTACAAATTTCGATACTACATGTAAATGGTTTTATTTATACTTTCTAACCCTAAATTACCCTCATTTTGTCATTAAAAAAAATTAAATTGTTATGTTTTGTTCTTTGTTTATTTTTGTGGGGAAATGAATTAGAAACTCTGTTGACAAATCTGAAGGTGGACCGCCAGTTTTTACCCATCTAAAAATAATAAAATCTCAAGACCTTTTTATTGGTTGTTTAATTTGGCCTGACATCCCCTTCCCCATCCAACATTATATTGCAATGGCCCTGGTTACATGTGCAAATTATTTTGGTACAGATTACTAATACATGTAGTTTTATTAATATCCACTAAGTACATTTGAATGGAAATGATGTGGTATAGAGTAGTAGAGTAGTGTGATCTCCATACTGGCCAAGTTGTCAAGGTTACTGGTTCCAAAATAAATTGTGCTAAACAATAGTGTGGTGATCACACCAGCCCCAAACACTGAATTTGCCGTGCTCCAGTCCTTTGATTAAATGATTTCGTGGTGAACGTCATGTGCAGGCTCTGTTGTTTAAAGTCAGTAACCTGGACGACGGGCAAATTTCAAGTTAGCACTTGGGTACTCTAAAGGGATGAATATACTGGCTTGAGTGGTTTTATGGTTTGTGCTATATACTGTGTTCAATAAAAAATGCAAACAGCAAAGACATGTGGACTGAATATTACAAAGCAGATTATAATACCATTTATTTATCTTGTCAATGATTATCGTTGATTACACAGTGATTCATGAATTGCAACACCTCACCTTTTTATTCTTACCATTTCTGTAAAGTGTAAAGTCACATGGATTGAAGAAGAAGACCTTCAGGTTATAGTTATTAAGTTAGTCCTTTTCTCTTCACGGCATCCATGTGACTCTCTTTCAAATGTACCCTTGTTTTGTTTTCACTGATTTTCTTTTTTCTTTGCAGAAAAAATAAGAAGAAGAAGAAGAGAACCAAGAAATTATAAGCAGAGCCATTGGAAAATCTTACCTTGTCACTGCTGTCTCGATGACCTTTGTCTCCGGGATACCACTCCTTGCAAGTTCTCCCTCCAGAAAGCAATTAAACAACACCACCCCTTCCTCCTCCACCTCGCATCTATCCTCCACTCCATCAATCGAGTCCACGCCTTGGGGCATCTTTCTCATTCTCAACGGAGACAGCATTTGTGACGACTTTCTTCGGTTTGCGAAGCTGCTCTCCCGGAACTCCTTGGATGTCGGGGACATCTCTGGCTCTCCATGACCATTTGGATAAAGGTTTGCCCCTCCTGAAGATGGTAATGAGGAGGGTGCTTGACCATTACCATTTCTCATGGTCGTTTTTTTTTGTGATTGTTTTTCTTCCATGTTGGTGCAACGTTTCATTTGTTTCAAAGGTAATTGTCCTCAGAGTTTTTTTCACAGAAACTTTCAGGCTGCTCTCTTTGTTTGTCACTCAATCTTGATCACACTTTGTCAATTTTTCAAAAACTCTTGGTGTAAATCTGCAAAATAAAAGATGACACGGAAGGAAAAGGCATAATGTTAAAATGCAAACCAGTGCTTAATTTGTATGAATTTTCTTACATAATATTGGAATGTGAGCAGAGAAAGTACATCAACATGCAATGCCTAATTATACACTGCAAAATGCAGTAAACATCAAGCATATAAATACTGTTTCACTGCAACCTGTCAAGTGTTTTCATTAAATAATCACACAAAGAAAAGAAAATGACTACAAAATCCATATACACTGTACTCCAAATACCAGAATGGCCCCTTCAGCAGCTGCTCTTTACTAAGTCTCCTCGGTGAAAGTATGAAAATATATACCAGTATGCGATGGAAATCATCTCTTTTTAATATGCATTACACATGAAATAGAAATACTTGTGATTCAGCCAAGGCCTATGTATACTGTTAGGGAGGAGATCACCTGTAGTCACCTTCACTCTTACACGTACCTTCACTCATCAATGCCATGATTCAGACTGACTCTCAGTAACGAGTGCGTGCAGGCAATCATTGTGTGTACACGTACATGTACACAAACTAGGGAGGGAGATGGGAGGGATCTCCCTGCTCAAACCAAGTCTGCACGCAAGGGGCTGTTCACATTGAGTAAGATTTTCTTCCATCCATATAGGCTTAGCATGTACACAAAAACCATAGCTCTGTTCACATCGGGCATGGATTGTACATGTAGAATTGTATTTGTAGATCCATACATGGACAAGAATTTTCATGAATATACATGTACATGTAGGGCCTAAGCTAAGGCTACAGCTAACATACACTTGTACAGTGTAAACCTCTCATAAACCTCTCTTCTATTTTGAGGTTTGTTTACATTCAACAAAAATTTCATACTATCACAAAATAGTGTAAAATGCAAATGAATAGTATGGAGTAATTGATTTAAAGAAAAAAAAACCTAGGAGTTCAAATCAGATCCCGTATACCATGCTTACATGTATAATCCCCATTTATTCCATTCCACCGTACAGTAATGAATACATTGTACAATTACATCTCATGAACAGAAATAAATGTTTAAATTTTTTTTTTAATAGAAAATCCTAAATCTGTTTTATTTACTCTATTATTTTATATACCGGTAGTGAACATGCAGCTGACGAATAACAATAAACACCTAAAATATTTCAGAATATGCAACAGCAATATCATCACAACTATTATTAATCCCACATCGTGTGTACCCACACATGTCTTTTCAAATTCATTGAATAGCAATGTACACAAGAGAAGGCCTTTGGTAGAGGAGGCCACAGAATATAAGTGCATTTTGAGGTGAAGGCTACCACTCATCTATTTATTTATTACATGTTGCTAAGCATTGGCATACACAATGTACATCGAGTATTTCAGATCTGTCTACATGTACATGTACATATTGGTATCATTAAGTCTACAGCAAGCATGCCAATATCTTCTCCTTCTTTTATTATTGGAATATTTATTATTATTTTTTGTACTGGAACATTGACCACTGAAATTATCATATTGAATTAAATTATCTATCAGCATTATGAGTAGTAGCAATGATGCTGAATTATTGAGCTAATCACTCTGAATTTGTTTCAAAAAGGTACTTTAATTTGCAGACTAGTACAGGTCAATGTCAACGTGTACAGTAGTAATTAGTTTCTATTAAAATCAACAGATCAACAGGAAGACAGTTTCTACATCAACACGTAGGCCAAAATAAAAGTGAACAAACATTTAACAAGTAAATTATTCATACCCTTAACAAGTTTTTGTAATTTGTCAAGTACCGGTATGTGAAAATAGATTTGTCCAGATTTATAAAAACCCTGTATGTACATGTATCTTGAGAATGTGACATATTAAAGATTATATGATAGATCAACAAGTACTGAACAAAGGCCCTAATTCAACCAGTCCACTTTTTATTCTTCCGTTACAAAACAAACAAACACCCAAAACATCAAATTTACAAGGGGTGTGAATAATTTAGTTGTTAAATGTACATGTTGTTGTACCGTAGATCTACTTACCTTATTGTTCCAATACACAAACAACAAACAAACCAGGGGACACAATACATGGCACACAACACAACTGAAATTCAATGGCATATCTCCAAATGGAAAAGTCAACATTGAACACACATCACACAGTCACAAAACTTTGGTACAAAGTTACAAACTACATGTATATGTTTATGGCACTACTTCATATAAATCACAAAGTTATAATAAAACTACAATGTACTACTCAAGTCTCAAGATAAAAAGCATGGCAGAGCTCACATACCGGTACACGTGTATCACGGAAATAGACAATGATGTTTATCTCTCAACGGCTGAACTGCTTCTGACTAGAGGCATGGACCTACTGGCTGGGGGTGAAGTTCATATCAGCTTTATTTATAACCCTCAGTAGTCTAGATTTCTAAACCCAAGACCAGATAATTCCTGCCTGATCTGTGATCATGGTTGGTCAGCACAACAGGAAGTGAAAGCTCAACTTTGGAAATATTCAGAAACTGAAATTCCATCAACGTATATATTCATCAATCATTAAACCTCCCAACCAAACATTACCAGTGATAGTAATAATTTGGAGAGGAACCAAAATTACAAATGAAGGTCTGTGATGTAGACTAATGAGGATCTCACAAACTTCCCCTTCCAACTTCCAGTCAAAACAACTCATTGTTCAGACCACAGTCCAGTAAACACTATCATGACTAATGCATTATGCATATATATGCATTAATCATCATCTACTTGTCTGACATATTTCTTGTACATTTTTCCAATTTCTCACCTCTTCTTACGTAACAAATGTTTGCTTTTTTATCCCTCTCTAAAGCTTATTAAGACCACAACAAATTAGTTACATGTATATTCTAAAAATCTTAATCCGTGTCACTAGATGCTCAACATTTTTTGCTTGAAATTCATAGCAGTATCAACATGTCATAGCTATCAGCTATTTACATGTACATGTAGGGATCTCCCTTCAATCTGCATGATGATGATGATGTCATAATGCCTTCCTAAATCCAAGCCTCCTATAGTCTATGAATAATCATGCGACTCGTCGGAATCTACGTGGTTACTACATACCACTTTCATAGTTCTTGAACATCAAGGCAGTCTCAACATGTCTCAGCTGAACAATACCAGGGGGATTCCCCATTTCCCCCTTCATTAGCATATACATAAACTGCACAATTGGTGATGTACAGTAACAACAACATCCTAGGTAAATAGGTGTAACCCAGTTTTATTTTACTTGGATGAACAAAGAAAGGGTGATAACCCTTCATCATGTGGCATACCGCATTGATGAGGTCATAGGCAACCGGCTAACCAGTAACCAAGGCTTTCCTTTGTGTTATATTTATCTCATGAAGGTGGTATTTCTCTACAGTCTAGATGCCAAGCATGTTACAAAAAAAGATGTTCATTGTTACATCAACTCGTCTTGACCCCCTTCTATTTGACATTTACCTCTTTGTTCCCATCTTCATTCCCCTTTCTCTCTCCCTTTCTGTCTCTCTCTCTCTCCCCGTCTCTCCTTCTCCCTCCCCTTTCTCTTTCTCTGTCTGTATGTCTGTCTCTGTTTCTGTCTCTCTGTCTCCTTCTCCCTCCCCTTTCTCCTCTGTCTGTATGTCTGTCTCTGTTTCTGTCTCTCTGTCTCCTTCTCCCTCCCCTTTCTCCTTCTCTGTCTGTCTCTCTGTCTCTCTCTCTCTCTGTCTGTCTGTCTGTCTCTGTTTCGGTCTCTCTGTCTCCCTCCCCTTTCTCCTTCTCTGTCTGTCTGTCTGTCTGTCTGTCTGTCTCTCTCTCTCTCTCTGTCTGTCTGTTTGTCTCTCTCTCTCTCTCTCTCTTCCTCTCACAAAGGAACCAACAAATCATGGTACTATATTTCAGCATCATACAGTACAGTGTAAATAGTACATGTACCGGTAACTGAAAACCGAATGTACATTGTACTCTGTGCCACTTCACTAGCATCCTTTGGCAAGATTTTAATCTATGTTTACCAGGAAAATGGGTAGGTGGCAGTAGCCCGACTCAATTTTTTAAATATGCTACTGTGCTGGAGTACCCTAATAGTAGATACAGGAACTAGCAATATTGAAGCTGATTTACAAGTACATGAAATAATACTTGAATGCCGGGAGAGTCAAGTGTGACATGAGTGCCATTAAAAAAAAACCTATTACGGTAGTTACAGTAGGACAATACAAAATTGTTTGTTCAATTTATACAGGTTTGATGGGACATTCAGTTTCTTTGAATGACTCAATTCTACAATTCCAATTCATATTGACCTATGGATAACAGTTACCGGTAAGTGTCACCATTTACTGATGTTTTATCTTTATCTTTTGATCCCAGAATGCTCTGAATTACAAATGGTTTATTAGCGGAAAGTGCAAAAAATCACTGGAAAATATGAGTCCATTTCTGTTGCAGTACATTGTACTGTTCATTATTAAATAAAAGTGATTCAATCCATAAAAATAATTGAAGTCTCTAAATTGGCAATGCAAAGTGACATCTTAAATCACTATTTTTATATTATTATATCACTATTGGCAATTTATTTCATTTTTTGGGGTCATTTTTTTTGTGAAGTGTTCCATTCAATATACCGGTACATTTTTTGTATAAACTATGAAAGATCAGAAAATAACTGTTACCAAAATAAAGAGGAAAACTGGTTAATTTAGACCTTTAAAACACTATGAACTACTATGGGTTAATTTATTAGTTTTTCATTTCATATACACTGTACATTATAATTTTATATTCACACATCTCTAAAATATCCACACGTCTTAAAATCCTACACAACACTTTGTATGTAATGACCATGTACCGTACACGTACAGTACATCTGGATCTATATTTTCCTCTTCAAAAAGTCACCTTATGGATAGATAAAAACTGTTTTGAAATAGATGAATAACCAAAGGTGGAAATTTGAAAAAATAGAGACTGCCTAGCATATTAACTCAATCACACACAAAACAAGTTCCTATAGCTGCCATCCACTCATACACAATGCAAGTAGGAATAACATAACAAAAAGTATAATAGGTAAATGTACAATTCAAATTTCAAAGTTGTTAAAAATAATTTTGTTCTGAAGTGAATCTATCATGGTTAAGAGTGCATTGGTCATTGGACAGTATCTAATTGTTAAACAAGTTTAGCAACCACAAAATGGCTGCCAAGATGGCTGACACTCCCTAAATCACTCCCTATAAAATTAAACACAAGTGTAAGGACCCACACTAGACAAAACTAGTCTTACATGTTTGATGACTTGGCCTGCACTGTTAGATTTTAATACAACCACAAAATGGCTGCCAAGATGGCTGACATCCAGTCCCTGAAACAATAATAACCAATCACAAGATTGGACAAAAAGTAAGTAACCAATAGAAAAGCTTGGAAAAAGATAGAGTGCCATGTGCCTATAGTGTGCTCACTGTGCTGGGTTGAATAGCTAAGAGATAAGAAGAGTGTGTGTGTGTGCGTGTGTGTGGTGCTATGACAGGTAATGTGTATGAGGATGAATGAATAGGGACAGAACAATAGAAGCCAAGAGCAAGCAGACATGAAAGAATGAATGTAGGTCAGGAGTGTCCTAAAGCATAACGGAGTGGAAAGCTAAAGTAAACTAAACAAATAACCATTTGGCTCAGTAAAATTAAAACCTTACACAAGTTTTAATTGGATGTCCAAAAGAGTTGGACTTAAGACGGTTTTGAGAAACGGCCCTCTGGATTGCAGGAGTGGCCGTTGAATGGCCGACTCAGAATCCCCACTTTTCTGATAAGGATGACAAACTCAGTCATGGGGAAGATTGACATAATTCATTAGGCCAAGTAAAAAAAGTAAAGAGTTTCCCATCCGGACTTTATCAAAAGAGGAGGAGGCAGCGCTTTACTTTTCACTGTTTTTTTGCCAAGATGGCCGCCAAGCTTAATATGGCTGGCATATCTATTTACAGATATTGTGCTATTGGAGTATACTAATGCAATGTATGACAAAAAAGAATGATTTGTATCATTGTAGTATGTATCATCTTAGTCCATTTGCTACGCATATTTCAGAATTCAGAAACAGTGTAAAAATAATGTACTTGTGTTCAGCTTGATCTAGCTATAGAAGCTACCGTATTTATACAAAATGTACATCACAGCCTTTCAAAGATTGTGGGGGCTTTTTTTCTGAATAGTAAATACTTAATAGTAAACAAAAGGAGGCGGCGGGAGGCGGGCGGGAGGCGGGCGGGAGGCGGGAGGCGGGTGGGGACGAGAAACTCGAAAGTTTTGTTTTAATAATAATAGACTAGATCTAGGTCTATTTTAGACCGAATTTTCCGTCTCTTTCGTTCGTTAGCCTCTTATTGGGGTAGGGTCGGCTCTCTCTTTAGAGACGGAAACCGTCTATACACATTCCCTTGATAACGCCACGGCCATTTCAGGTCGTAGCGTTTTGCCCCCAAAATCCCCCAAAATGTCATTTTACCTTATGCATTGATTATTTAAAATTAGGAGAAGGTTATACTACATCGGTTCCACTTACCAACTTGACTGAAATAATCCGTTTAATGGTCCCTTTTAAGGAAATTATGGGTCAAAATCGACATCCATGTTGAAATCTTGCAAGCCGTGTTAAACTCTCGCTGCGCACGGAGTCATCTAAATCAATCTCATCCCTTCTAGTCTACGCCGAAGGCAAAACGATTATGAAGGAAAAACTGTGCGCCATCTACACGTTCGTAATGGCGTTATCACAGTTTTTCCTTCATAATCGTTTTGCCTTCGGCGTAGACTAGAAGGGATGAGATTGATTTAGATGACTCCGTGCGCAGCGAGAGTTTAACACGTACGGCTTGCAAGATTTCAACATGGATGTCGATTTTGACCCATAATTTCCTTAAAACTTAAAAGGGACCATTAAACGGATTATTTCAGTCAAGTTGGTAAGTGGAACCGATGTAGTAGACTATAACCTTCTGCTAATTTTAAATAATCAATGCATGAGGTAAAATGACATTTTGGGGGATTTTGGGGGCAAAACGCTACGACCTGAAATGGCCGTGGCGTTATCAAGGGAATGTGTATAGACGGTTTCCGTCTCTAAAGAGAGAGCCGACCCTACCCCAATAAGAGGCTAATGAATGAAAGAGACGGAAAATTCGGTCTAGACTTTCTAGGTCTAGATCTACTTGACCTAACGCAATTTTCTTTAGTTCTTCTTGAATTTCTTCTTCTTCTCTTTCTTTCTTTCTTCTTCATCTTCTTTCTTCTTCTTCTGTGTTTTTACTCCTTCTTGCTTCTTCTTCTTAGCAGACAACTTCTCTTCCTTCGTCCAGAATACATCTGGCTCCACTGCACTGAGTCCACCGACCGCCACTACGCAGAGACTAAACTACATCGTACGGGTAGGTTAGTGAGCACCCCTACTGACCCACAGTGCCATGGCCATGGCTTGGGGAAGATGATGAGGTCTCCGACGGCCATCTCAGTTGCGCTTGTGCGCTTATACTTTCAGGCTTAATTATTGTGTCATTAGACCGTCAAACTGAATCAAACAT